ATAAAACTAGGATGCAGAGTAGTTAAGCAACTATGCCTAAATTTAAACACAAGACTAATTTCAGACACTGTAATAAAGATTCAAGCCAGATAAAATGTAGGCCAATTTTGAAGAAAAACTTTGGCTGCAAATTCAAATATTAACAAACAGTGGAAACACAATTTAGAAAAACAAGCATCACCTTAAGAATGGTAAGGTGGTGACACCAAGGTCATGGAGAAATGGACAAGACTGATGTATAATCCCACATAACTCCCCCATTCACTACAGTCTTTTCTCTTCCCCCTCCACTTTTCATCTCTTCCTTTTCCCATGTCCATTTTGTTTTCTTTTTATACTGTAGCACAGTGAAGAATATGAATTTTGTGTTCAGATGACCCTGTGTTCAAATTTAGGACTTCTTACTATATGACTTTGGCAGATCATGGAACATCACTGAGCCTAAATTTCCTCATCTATTAAAAGGGGGGAGGGTAAAAATCCTCTGCCATTGAGAGAGTTGAAGGGATTAAATCAGATAATATATGGAAAGAGATGACCAAATCATTAGTAGGCTAAATGGGATCCTTTTTTTTTTTTTTTTTTTTTTGGCCAGGGGATAGGGAAGAGTATTAACTTTGAGTGTCAGTGAGGCTTAATGGAAATGTCATATAATTTAATTTGGAACTGAACAATCCTGGGTCTGAATCCTGTTCCACCCCTTATTGGCTAAGTGACCTGGGACAAGTCTTATAACCTTTCTGTGCCTTTTCCTTATCTATATAATGGAGTAAATAATATAGATTACACAGAAATTAAATTAAATGATAGACATTTAAATTACATCTGGTTGTCACTAGGCACTTAACAAATAAAATTGCCTCTCAGCAGAACTTTGAGGAGTTGGTGTGTCCTCCAGTGGCTCATGGTTGTTGATAGCTGAATCTATTTACTAGGATATGTTGCCACTAAGGAATTAAAGTGACAAAGCACTAAGGAATTTTAACCTTGAACTTATATTTTCAGGCTATAAAATAAATATACAAAGAGGGAGGCAGAGATACAAAGCAATGAAAAGACAACCATAAGAAAGCATGGGTCCAAGTGCTAGTGCCTGTAAACCAGCATTTGGGAGGTCAAGGCAGGTGGATCCTAAGTTCAAGGACTGCCTGGCTACACAGTAAGACAGGGTCTCAAAAAAAAAATAAGAAAGAAAGTAAAAGAAAGCATGTGTCCAGTCCCACTTGCGCATTTGCTGCTTGTATATTCCCTATACAAGTTACATGGCTATGCGGGTAACTTGGAGGGGGGGGGTGACCTAGATTAGTGGTTAATGTGTGGTGATATTTCTGATTGTTACAATTCAAGGATTGCTACTGGAATCTAGTGGGTACAGGCCAAATATTCTACAATGCACAGGACAGATGCTTATAAAAAATGTTATAATATTCAATAGTGCTGAACTTAAGAAACCCTGGCCTTAATGACAATTAAGTTCCCTTCAAGTGCTAACAAACTAATAGACAGGACCAATACTGAACAGGTGACATTCTTGATAACACGTATGAATGGATAAAGCCAGATATTTAGATATTTCCTCAAAACCCATTGATTACTTCTCTCAGATATTTTGATATCTAAGGTCACTGCTATATTTCTAAGAGTGTTGCAATCCTTCTTTTATACCAGGACCCAAGGATGAAAGAGGCACTGGTTTCCAAGGACTTGGTTCTTACCTTTTGCAGTTAGAATCAGTGTGTCCAAAGCCATAAGAGTCCATTTGGGTGAACAGATGATTTAAGTACATCTGAACCAAGGACAGAAGGAGGACAGAAGATGTGATACAACACAGCAAAGTAAAGGAAGCCTGATTCCAATAGCTACAGGCTGCACGAGTCCTCTTACACAGCCTTCTGGATCAGACACAACTGTATAGTCAAGAAGGGATCAGAAGTTGCCAGAGGTTGGGGTAGGAAAAATAGACTACTAAGGGATATGAAGAAATTTTGGGGATGATGGAGTATTTTATATAGTATATGTATAACTGTAGTGTCAGTTATACACCTATATACATTTGTCAAAATTCACAGAATTATATGCTGTACATAGGGGATTTAAAGCCAGGTGTGGTGGTGCATACTTGTTCTCACAGCACTGAGGAGCCAGAGGCAAGAGTATAGTGACTGGAAGTGTGGCTCAAGTAGTAGAGCACCTGCTTTGCAAGAGCGAAGCACTGAGTTCACCCCCTCGCCCCCCCACACAAAAATAGTAAGTTTGAGGCCAATCTGGGTTACATAGTGAGACAATGTCTCAAAAAAAAAAAAGGTGAATTTTACTGTTTCTACATTATGCTTCATAAGACTGACTCCCCTAACCAAACATGGTCACAAATCCTGTAGAGAGAATGAATTAGGTAACATTTAAATTCTTTCCCTCCAAGTTCTATGATTTTATGATATTCTGCCTCGCTTGCCCTTATGTCCTAGTGATTAAGTCTGGGCTTTGATTTCTGTGGCAAAGCAATGAGGCCTCATGACAGAATCATGTTGATGTAAGTTTTGGCACCATTCTGGGAGCTCTGACCCTATTCCAGCTGGTGACAGGTTTACTTCCTTTTCTCCTCCTATCCTGACAATAAGGGACTTGGACAATTAATAAACAAGTCAGAATAAACCCTCCAAGGTTTATTCACTTGTTTTATCTCTCTGCACAGGTTTCCTGTCTGGATCCCATTCAATCTTTCCAGTAACTTTCCAATCAGGCAACAGAAAACCCTATTTATCAATTCTCCTCTTCTATGGTTTTGGGTTTCTACTAGATTACAAATATAATTAAGCCACATAAATGTAAAACACGGGCCTCACATAAAACTCACATCCAAGCTCATCAATATTGCACATGGATAAGTTTTGTTTTGTCTTAACACATACACACCCCCTCCAATATTTGTTTTATCAAATGTTACTTAAAATAGCTAATTCTTATGTATGTACATTATAGCCACAAGTATGCCATGGTGGTCTGAAATAGCGATCAGAATGCTCACACTTTCTGCTAATAGAAAGACCACTGTCTTCAAGCCACAAATACAGTGACAATGGTAGACTGCTACTAAAGTCCTTCCTCTATTATTAAGACTCAGTTCTTTTCCTAGCTCTTGGTAGGTCTCAATGAAAGAGTTTGCAAAATACCAGTAACTAAGTACATTGAGTTTTATACACATTGAGTTCGGGGATAAAAATCAAGACCACTAGACAAACCTGGACCTTCCAGTGTCCTCAAATTCCAAAGGACAGAAGACTTGATAAGAGTCAGGTGATGTCTACATTTCCTTTTCTACTATTTATAGCAATACAATGAGAGTAGGAAGGTGGAGTACTTGGGATATAAGGGCCTAGAGAGACAACAAATCCCACAGCGGTCTATGGTCTTGTTTCCATATGTTCCTCACAGAAGGAAAGAATGGGGAAATTACATTTCCATGGTTTAGAACTATACAATCACTATTAGCAGTCTGCCATTAGCAAAAAATCAGTACTGTCTCCCCCAAGTAACTCAGACTTGATAAGGCTGTTCCTCTGGTATAATTTTTAAAAAGTTTCACAAAAAACTAAATACTTGGCAGAAAGAAGACTGGCTTTTTATTCAAAGGAATATGGTTGCCCAGGTCTCCCCCAAAGTATTTCCAATTCCAATTGGAAAGAATTGCTAAGGATATATTCCTAGAGTGTCTTTTCTTTCATATGTAAGTATAATGATACCAAATAAAAGGTATCATTTATTTGAAAGGCCAAATAAATGGGGACATGGTTTTTGTTTATTTTGAGACAGGGTTTGCTAAGCTTCCCAGGCTGGCCTTGATCCTGCAATCCTTCTGCCCTGGCCTCTTGAGTAGATGGGACTATAGGCATGCACCACTATGACCACTTTACAATTTTTTTTTCTAATTTCAGGAGTAGACTTTCACAGAGTATACTGGTGACTGCTGGGATGAAGTCTATTGTCTGTGATCACAGAATTGAATGAGGCAAGACTTGTTGGCCATCATGGGGACTGAAACCATGGGCTTCTACAGTGCTCAAACCAAGACAATTCTATTGCATTCCAGAAACAAAGATGTCCTGTGAACCCACTGCCTAGACCTCCAGCTGCCTTAAAAATTCGAGAAAGGGCTAACTAGAGCTATAAGGCCCAGGAATAGCAACAAACAACCTCAGCCAGCAAGGCCTTGGCTGGCCTCTTGTTCCTCAGACAGCAGGCGAATAGAATTCACCTACTACATACCTTGCATGCTGGCAGACTAGCTGCCTCGCCCTTTCACACTCTGCCTAGGAGAACAAGAACAGGTGTAAGTCTCAAAATACCAGCCTCTAGGACTCCTGGGTCCTTCCACTGTTCACAGTACAAGGTCATGTTCCAAGTGGGCCTAAGTCATAGGCTTAGACCTATGACTACCTGAGCTAACCTACATCCACCTGAATCACGCTGAGGACCAAGTCTAAATGGATACCAGCCAAGTTCCATGCCCTGCCAAGCAGTCTTTTCCCACTCCTTCACTCTTTCTGGAACTGATGTCTCTCACTACCATTTCTTAAACCAAAATACTAGTTTCTTACCAAAATATCCTAAGAAATAGCCAGAGCCCTGATTCCAAGCTAATTTAGCAATTAATTGCTAATTTAGCTAATTAGCAATTTGCTAAATTGCTAATTTAGCAATTTGGAATTTAGCAATTCCAAGCTAATTTTCCAGTGCTAAAGAAACGAAGAGTCAGATACATGATGAGAACACTGTGTTTGAAGTAAGTTTCTTTTGTTCATGCTACCATAGACATGATTACTTCAATAGGCCACTGGTTTTTTGGTGTTCTGGAGTTTTTCCCTTTTGAAAACCCATCAGTTTGTATTCACATTTTCTTAAAGTACCAATTAGAGTACATTTAATCTGTGCAATGGTACCTTGAAAAGCATCTTTATAAACATTTTTTAAAAGTTGAAGAGAGTGAAGACAAATGACATTACCATGTCCTGAGATGCATACTGAGGGTCCTCTGGGTTGACTGACCAGTAGCAATAATCAAAGCCGAATGCCACAACCTTCTCCCGGGAGTCTCCAAAACCATCTGGTCGACTGGCCACCTAAAATCAAACACAGAAACACAGTATCAGAAGCTGGCCAGGAGCACTTGATTACTCTCTACTATAACTAGATAGCACTGGACTGGTCATAGGAATGTTTATCATATCTATCTGCAAAAAATAACCTGGCCTCTATCTCATTAGGTACAAATAAAGCCCCAGAGAACTAAATACGTTTATTATGCTGTCATGTATCTGTCTAAATATGCACATAGATATTAGGACAGCTCAGGACAGAAAGCCTCTCCCTCTTTGAGTCTCTTCATCATCACTATCATTTTTCCCTCAGCATTCCCAGAGAGGGTACTGGAAGGGCATGAGTAGTTCAGCCCCTGAACCTGATATGCACCACCAATCTGGAGCTTTCACTGAGACCCCTGAGATATCCACCTCCTGTGAATTTAGAAACCACGTTTACAGAAGAGCCAGGAACATTCCAATTGCCCAAAGTACGTGAGGGAAGAGCCACAGCTTGGAAACACACTGACCTCAGGGTACTAAGGAGAATGGCTTTGTTCACAGAAATACCTTGTCTTACTCTTTAACATTTAGACACTCTGACAGGAAAAGACAATCCTGGCATTAGCCATCAAAAACTACAGAAGGCAGCCAGGCACCGGTGACTCACGCCTGTAATCCTAGTTACTCAGGAGATAAGGAGATAAGGAGATAAGGAGGACCGCAGTTCAAATCCAGCCTGGGCAAATAGTTCGCAAGACCCTATCTTGAAAAAAAAAACCCTTCACAAAAAAATATGGCTGATGGAGTGGCTCAAGGTAAAGGCCCTGAGTTCAAGCCCCAACACCGAAAAAAAAAAAAAAAAAAAAAAAAGAAAGAAAGAAAAAGAAAAACTACAGAAGAATGAGGTTATCAGAACGAGTCAGAAGAGACTGTTAGTGGATAACTGACATTACGGAAATAAGCAGCCCCAGAGGTGTGTAGTAGACATAAAAAATTTGATTGTAGTTGAGATTTAGTCTTAAGAACAAAAAATATTAGAGCTCAGAACAAAACAGCTGAAATGATTAGGCAACAGAAATAAATATGAGATGGCAGAGAATAAAAGGTCCTTTGTTCCCCAGGAGCTCCTGTTGAAAGTGTTTGGCAGGTCTCATTCTCTTTTAGCAGAGAGGTACTGACAAGAAGAAACAGATTACATCGTAGTAGTAACACAGGAGTGGGCATGGCTCTCAGGTCTAGAGTCCAGATAACTCTCACTCTTGCCCATCAGTTTCCTCAGCTCTCAGGAATGCTGGCTTCCTTCCACCTAAAGCAGTAGTCACATGGTCAACTTCCCTCTTCTCTCTCCACTTCTCAAGGCCCACAAAGAAAGAACCCGTCCATCTTCCGCTGGCCTGATAAATGGAGGAAGGGGTGGAGGAAATTGCCTCTAGGAGAGGGTGAGGGGTGGGAAGGAAATTCCCTGTGTCTGTCCTATTGTAACTTAAAGTTCAGTCAGATCCGTGAAAGAAAATTTGTAATAAGATTCAGGCTAGTAACCAACTCCCTTTTGGAATCTAAAAGCTGATACTTGGACCTCAGTATGGCCAATATAAAGCCTTCATTATCAGGTATATACTAAAATTCCTAATGATGCCTCTAGATAAAGCAGTATCAGCAGAGAGGCTTAGGACAAAGTTTACCTGGTGGTCAGGTGAGTTAAATAGACATATAGATTGCCTCAACATGATTTAAGCTGGTCACAGACCCTATAACATCCCATGTTTATTTTCAAGCAGTGATTAACCAGTTTCCAAAGCAGCTGCACCCCATTTGATAGAATTTGGGCTGTAACAGCCACAGCCCCTGCACTTTCTCTGGTTTTTTTATTTGCTTTATGATTGATCCAAGATGTTCCCACAATTCCCTTTATATGCCCTTCTGTCCCCATATTCCCATGTTAAATACATTCATACACTCCTTCACCCCAGAAGCCCCTGCAATAATACTAGCTCCTCAGTGGAAAGCAAATGGAAAACCAATTTCAGGCTTACCTTTAGGTTCCTGATTTTGGCCACTTTGTCATCAACTTCCACAATAATTCTTCCCCCTTCTTTGGTCTCCCTAGAAACAAGACCCAAGTTTATATGAGAAAGAACCCTTTTTTTTTTATTGTTGTGCTGGGTGGGGGTACATTGTGGCATTTACAAAAGGAGAAGGAACCTTTTTTTAAAAAATCATAAAAAGAAAAGCTGAAACTAGTGCAGGGGGAAGAGGGGGAAAAAAAACATTTCTCTACTGCTATTCCCATAAGTGGATATCATATCAAGGACTCCCTTAGCTGGCAAGTTTCCCTATACCCTTACAGTTTGACTCTGGAGCCACTAATAGTCACCATCATTTATTGATCACCCTGTATATGTGAGGCACTGTATTAGGTACACAATACATTGTTCATCTTACTCATCCTATCCTCCCACTTTCCAGATATAGCTTCCTAATACATCTTCATTTTTACAGATGGAGCACATAAAGCTTAGAAAACTGTATAAGTTGTCCAAGGTCACATAAGTAGGATTGGCAGAGCCTCAATTTAAACCCAAATTTGAGCGCAAAGCTTGGGCTCTTAACTATTCCTTAGAAATCAGGCTTAGAAATCTTAAGAGTATCCTTGGCCCAGCACATAACAGCACAACCTCTCATTTTCTCTGGGATTCTGAGCATAGAAATTGATGGAAAAGGTATGGAAGTCCTCTTTATTGAGACTTCCCAAATCCTTTCATTTTCTTCAGTCTAAGAACCAAGATCCTATGTTGCAGTTATGCAGTAACACTACAACTAGTAGCTAAAAACTAACCAGCCTCTACATTAACTTTTAACAGGCTGATTCAGATGACCACATACCTGAAATCCATCTGTTTTAACAACACACAAAACTTCAGCAAAAGTGCCCAGACCAATATGTTAATAGAGGAGAATTACATTCAGTAGTATTTCTTCACTACAATGGAAGTTATCAATTAAATTACTCCCAGACAGGACCTGAACACAGAAGGTATCTTCAGTATCATTGTCATCCTTCCTCAGGCTTCCCAGAATTGAGGAGGGGCATGGTGAAACAGGGGTCTTTAGATTTTTTTAAAATTATTATTCCTTTTTCAAATCTGTCCGTAAATCTGGATAAATGCCTAGGTTAAAATTTTTCTGCCTCCTAAGTTAATGGCACTTATCGCCCTCGTGTACCTTCTTATCTATCATACAGTACTTAAGGCAGGAGAGGTTTTTTGTTTGTTGTTTTTTTTGTTGTTGTTTTGTATTGTTTTTTGGCAAAGTGTTCTACCACTGAGCGGTAGAACCCAGACTGGCAGTACTGGGGCTTGAACTCAGGGCCTATAACTTGAGCCACTCTACCAGCCCTTTCTTGTGATGGGTTTTTTGAGATAGAGTCTCTCAAACTATTTGCCTGGGCTGACTTCGAATGGAGAGCCTCCTGATCTCTGCCTCCTGAGTACCTAGGATTACAGGCGTGAACTGCTGGCACCTGGTTTTATTATTCCTCTACCTGCTAAAAAAGTAATACAGGTTAAATTTGGACAAGAAATAAGTCATGCAATGAAAATTTCACATCTTTAATTATTAAGTTTGCTTCCTCATAAGAATTTGCTGCAGACTCTGGCAAAAAGCATAAAAAAAAAGTGTCTTAAACTTGACTTCTTGGCAGCAAGATATAACACCACAGGAGGCTAAAATGTTGCTTTCCACCCAGGCTACTGCCACTGTTAACATGGAACAAAATGAAGGCTAACTGAATTTGAGGAGAACAGACAGATGGGCCACCAACTTCAATTAGAGCCGGTTTCAAAGAGCTCAAGTTATGCCTAGTGAGGAAAAGCCCAAAATAAGGCAGAATAGCTGCTATTACCACTTGCCTCTGTGACCAACTTGAAAAGGAAGTAAGTCCTACATCAGAACTATGAGGAAGGGAGAGGGTGTAATTAATAATAACAAGCTCCCCAGGTGGATTTTATATAAACTATAGTCTAAGAACCACTGTCTCAGAGAGGAATGTAACCAAGCTGTTACCACTTGATATTCTTTCATGAAACTTTAGTAAAGACCAGAGCGCTAAGTACAAGGGCCATTGGAAAAACAGTCATAAAGAACAGGAGGTTTGACTCAAGTGGCAGAGTGCCTGCCTAGCAAGCATGGGGCCCTAAGTTCAAACCCCAGTGCCACCCAAAAATAAAAAAGATAGCCACTAAAAACCATATGGCTAATACTTCATTAAACACTTAAAATGAGTCCAGTTCAGTCCTAAGTATTTTAATGTATTCTTTTAATCTTCATAAGAAAATTACTGAAATGGCATCCCCATTTTACAGAATGAAAAGAGAACAGAAAATCAACGTAGTGTGCAAAAAGTAACTTCTGACAGGGCAATGGGGACTGCAGGATTAGCAGAACAGATTCATCCTCTCAACAGTGAATGATTTTTGGGTACACGGGGCAGTATCTCATAATGACATACAGAATTTCGGATTATGGGAAGCAACTCTGAGCTAGAGGAGAAGACATCAAAACCACTTCCTATGTTATTTATTCAAGGTTAGTTCTAATTCTACTGAGCAAAGGATTACTTTTGAGAAAGAGGTGCAAGTTTTCTGTTGACTCAAATCTTGGCTTTACTTGCTTTTAGATCTTAAGCAAAACCATTTTCTCATGTGGAAAAACACAAAAATGTAAACTCTGGCCAGATGATCTCCAAGGTTTCTTCCCAAGTACAACATCAGATCCAATGACTTTGTTAACTGAAACTGAACTAATGACTTATTTGAAGGCTGGAACAAATCACATCATCAGCAGATTCCCCACAAGTAAGAGTCTCAGTGAAGATAACAGTGAATATAATAATACATCTTGGAGTATAGCTACCATCTTCACAGAATTCCGTGGCAAGAAAGGAGTGGTCTGGACTCCCTAGCTGGGGTCCCATTGAGTTTTCCAGCCTGCTAAAATCTACTCACACCTGGAGCTCAGCAGTCTTGGCATTCTACCATTTGCTCTTAAGGCTCTTCACCTGAGCTAAAAGTAAATAACTTTTTGTGCTCATTTAATTTTTGTTGGATGAGATATGCTATCCTCTACCAGAACTACAAATAATGCAATTAATCTAATCTGTGCTATTTTAATTTTCCAGTTTCCAAGGATCTAAGAAGTTACTGTTAAAAAGAGTGGTCAATGCTATTATCCTGAGAATCTTAAAAGAACAATTTTGAGAAAATGAGATCAGAGGTTACCTCCAGGGCACAGCTGCATCTATGAATCCCCCAGCCCGGGCCTGAGCCACCACATCCCAGGTATGCAGAAGCCAGATGTTATAAGTCATTTACCAATCCAAACAGCAGTTCAGGTACCTGCTGCTTTCTTTCTTTCTTCATTGTACCTCTCTTGCCTTTTACCTATTCTATCTGTATTCACGTTTTTCTCGTTTCTTTCCCCTCTCTCATTTTCTCATTATTCTATCAATTACAAGACTTTTCAAAGCCGATGGCTTATATGAGGACAATCATAATCCACACTAATACCACATTTATTATGGGAGACCATGCCTCTCTTGATTTCTCTGTCCAGTTAGTAAGCCATCTTATGCTCCGGAAATGTCTTAATTTCTCTAATTATTCCAATGCGTGCCTTCTGGTCCCGATCCACACTCTGCCAGTTTCATCACCTATCACCCACCTCCTTCCACATCAACCCCCTCCCAACCAAAACTAATATCTATTCCCTACCAGCCTAAATTCTTTTTTTGTCGGGTGTTTTTGTTTTTTTTTAAAACTCCACAGAGGACTGTTCTTTGCACGTTCTCCACCTGTGAGCAAATTCTAAAAGATCCACACGAGTGGAAAATTAGTCAAAGGGCGAAGACAATGTGTGACTGGACACTGGATGCTTCAGGGGCTGAGAAGGGCGGGATCAGATTCATCTGTGGGGAACTGAGGGTACCGTCCCCTAAAGCACAGCTCCGCCCTTCATCAAGTCAGCTGTTGAGCACAGGCTGAAACCGCCGGCTCTCTCGGGCCATTCTCCACATCCTTGAAGAGGAAACCCCTGCGCCCACCCCCCACCCCCGCTGCCAGCGCGCACCCTTCTGGCTCAGTCCTCGTGGGTCCTCCAGGGACACCACCCCGCTGCAAGGCGTTCAAGTCACGCCGAGTGGGAAAGACTCTATCCAGGGCCACAACCCCTGAGCCATGGTCCCTGGAAACTCCGCAGGCAGGACGCCAGGGCCGTGCCGCCCAAGGCAGCCCTTCCCTGAAGCCACCGAGGAACCGCTATTCTCCCGGACACCGCGCGAAAGCTCCATTCCAGGCCGCGTCCCGCCAGGCTTTACGGGTTCCGCACCCGATCCCAGGGTTACTTTGTGTCTGAGTTTTCTCCGCCAGAATCTCACGGGAGGCGGGGAAACTGAAGATTTCATGCTCTTCTCGGCTCACTTGACGCCACAGGCGCCCCCTCCAGCCCAGACTCACCTCTTGCTGAGAGGCCGGACCCGCACCGCCACCTTCACATTCGCCATCCCTCGGCCACAATCCAAGAGTAGGTGCGTCCAGTGGCGGCATCCCTGACCCCTGCCACAACCCCAGCCGGCGGAGTCCGCTGCACGCCCCTCCCGGGGCTCCCCAGCCCAAGCCTGAGCCGCAGACCGAAGGGGGCGGTGCCTGCAGAGCCTCAGCCAATCCTGAGCCTGGTGGGCGGGAAGACGCTTGGGCTACCCCTCCTCGCTCCGCCCCACACTCTTCTTGGGAAGCCCCGCCCAAACTCGCGTCGCTACCCGAGAGGGGCGGTGCCCGCTGAGCCTTGGCCAATCCTGAGCCCGGTGGGAGGGAGGACTCGCGGCCCTTACCGCCTCGCTCCGCCCCACGCACTCCCTGGACGACCCCGCCCACGTCTGAGTCGTAGCCCGAGAGGGGCGGTGTCCCTGCCAAGCATCGGCCAATAAGGAGCCTCGTGGAGGGGCAAATTGGTTCTTCCCTGGCCTCAGCACAATACAAAGTAGCCTTTGTTTTCGAACCTGGTGTCCATGCTAGTCAAGGAAATCTGTTTTGATTAATGCCCAAAAGTTGATAATTTGAATACTTTTGTCCGCTGCGTCGGCTTAAGCTGTCAGTGCTGTAGTTAAATTTTAGGAAAAATGGGCAAACCCTATGTTTTTGTGGTTCCTAGCATGGAGCATTTGGTGCGGAGTAATTTAGAATGCTTACAGGAGTGTCTCTCGAGTGTCCTGGCACCTCATAGTCATCCTGGCAATGTTTACAAAAGCAGGGGGAATACTGCTTTTTAAAAATTCATGCAAGAAATAGCTATTGGCCGGGTTCCAGTGGCTTACGCCTGTAATCCTAGCTTCTTGTGAGGCTGAGATCAGGAGGATCGCGATTTGAGGCCAGCCGGGGCAAATGGAACAAATAGTTCTCGAGACCCTATCTAGAAAAAACCCAACATAAAACAAGGCTGGCAGAGTGGCTCAAGTGGTAGAACGCCTGCCTAGCAACTGTATAAACAGAGTTCAAACTCTAATACTACCAAAAAGGAAAAAAAGAAGAAAAATAGCTGTTGCATACCTACAAAGCATCAAGCCCTGATCTAAGCTGAATGAGGACCACAAATGATAAATACGACAAGTATCAGATTAGCTAAGAAGAAAAAAATAAAGTATAAAAGGGGATGGTCTTTTTGATAATATGATCAAGGAAAACCTCAATGAGAATGTGACACTTGAGAAAAATATGAAGGATGCAAAAGAACAGCCATACAGCAGGAAATGAGTGTGAATATCTGTAATCCCAGCACTTGGTTGAGGCAGGAGGCTCCAGAGTTGGAGGACAGCCTGACTCTGTCTAAAAAAAAAAATGCCAGGCAGAAACAGGGAACAGGGCAATGTTAAACATCCTGACCTTAGAGACAGCCTGAAACCCAGGAAAAGGAAAAAAATCAGTGGAGGTAGAATGGAGTGACAGAGGGAGAATCAGGAAGTAGCAGGAGGCCAAAGTGGTCTTTAGATTTTACCTGCGTGAGAGAGAAACCATAGAAAAGTTTTGGGGAAAAGAGTAAAATGAGTTGATTTATACTTATAAAGGATTACTCTGGATGATGTTTGGAGACTAGGCTGAGGGGTGAGGAAGGGTAGAAGCCCAGAGAGACCAGTCAAGAGGCTATTTTAGAGTTCCAGTGGTAGAACTAAGATGATGAGTCATGTCAGTTTCCTTTTACTAGTCTATTTCAAAGTACTTTCCCTATGGGACATAGGGAAAAAATTGATATACAATTCAGACTGAGAAGAACCTGCTCTCTTATATAGCTTCTTTACTCACTGTGCTTTGCAGTGAAAATGAATGCTAAATTAATATTTCTATTTTTAGGTTAGAGAATTTGACATAACAGTAGTCTATATTTTTAAAATGATTTCACTCATAATTATTTCAGCATGTCTTTTTTTTTTTTTTTTCTGGTACTGGAGCTTGAAATCAGGGTCTACACCTTGAGTCACTTCATCAGCTCTTTTTTTTGTGATGGGTTTTTTTGAAATAGGGTCTCATGAACCATTTGCCTGGACTGGCTTCAAACCTCATTCCTCCTGATCTCTGCCTTCTGCCTAGCTAGGATTACAGGCATGAATCACCAGCACCCAGCTTTGCATATATCTTTAACATAACCACAATATCTATATTATAATATTATACCTAAGTTCATTAGTTCCTTAATATCATCAAATATCCTGAGTTCAGGTTTCTCTGATTGTCTCATAAGTTTATCTTTTTAAAAACAGTGTCATGGTTTCATCACTATGTAAATAAAGTTTGTTTTGTTTTGTTTTTTGTTTTGTTTTTGCAGTACTGGGTCAGGGTCTCACGCTTGCTGGGTAGGTGCTCACGAATAAAGTTTGGTTGGTGTGTCTTTTAGCCTGTAACTTTCTTGTCCCTCTGCTTCCTGCCCCAACCTTGTTAAAGAGACCAGGCCATTTCCCTGTAAAGTGCCCACAGACTGGATTTTGCAGATTGATCACTGTAGAGACATTTAAGTAGTTCAATACTCTGTATTTTTGGTAAATGGTAGTTTAAGCCAGAGCTTTGAGTAAATCAATAGGCACCTGCCATTCTTTTTGTGCTATTTGCAACCACAGTTGATTATCATCTGAAGTCAGATCATTTCATTAGAGGTTGCAAGGTAATGATGCTTGATCTTCAGTGTGAAGCAAAATACTCCTATAAAGAGCAACTTCTTGAGGGCTGGTGGATTGGCTCAAATGGTGGAGCTGCCTGGGAAGTATAAGCCCTGGTGTTCCAGCCCCAGTACCAAAAAAAAAAAAAGGGCTGGGGCTATAGTCAGGGTTAGAGTGCCTACCTAGCATGTGTAAGGCCCCGGGCTCAATTCCCAGTACCACAAAAAAGAGAAAGAAAAGGAGCAACTTCTCATCAACTATTTGATTAACTTGTGATACACAGCAAAGACTTGTTGGTTTCCTAGTATTCTTATAAAGGTGGCAATTTTTTTTCAGTACAATAAATCCACAGATTTAAGCACTTTTCCTTTTTTTCTTGTGATAATGGGCCACTCCACCAGCCCTTCTTTGTGATGGGTTTTTTTTTTTTTTTTGAGATAGGGTCTCTTGAACTACTTGACTGGGTTGGCTTTGAACTGCAATCCTGCTGATCTCTGCCTCCTGACTAGCTAGGATTACAGGTGTGAGCCACTGGCGCCCAGCAGATTTAAGCACATTTGACTTGCTTTAGTCCATCATTACTATGTTTATTGATGGCCAAATAGTCCCAACTTTTTACTTGATTCATCAACTTTTACTAGGCAGGCTCTCTACCACTTGAACCGTTCTCTCAGTTTGACTCATCAACTCTTAAGTCCAATAGTCATTTTGACAGTTTCCTTTATTTCAGGGGTGACAAGATGTTCCAGGTTCATCTTGGATGTTTCTTACCCAACTATGAAATCAGCAAAATCTTCAATGACTTGTAGAGAACATAATCTGGAGGTAGGTGCATACCTGTAGTCCCAGCATACAGGAGGATCACTTGAGGCCAGCTTAGGCAACACAGCAAGATCCCTGTAATAGAAGGTTTGAGTTTTCACTTCTATATATGCTGTCATCTCTGCTACCCTAAGTACTCCAAAATAATTACTCATTTGCTTATCTCACAGTTTCAGAATAATACTATGAACACTAACACCAATACTAAGACTGCTGAGGAAAATTTTTTAAGTTTGGAGGAATTTTTTTTTTCAGTACTGGGTTTTTTTTTTTTTTGCAGGACTGGGACTTGAACTCAGGGCCTGTAGCTTGTAGGTAGGTGCTTTACTTGAGGAACTCCACCAGCCCAACACTGGAGTTTTGAACTCAGGGCCTCACACTTGCTAGGCAGGTGCTCTACCACTTGAGCCACTCCTCCAAGCCTTTTAAAGTCAATTTTGTCCTTAGAGAATATCCCACTTATTCAAATTTACTGAATTTTGAAGTCACTTGAAATAACTTTTCTCAATTTTATTATATCATCAATATTAAGTTGTGGGGAGTCAACAACTTAATAATTGTATTGAATAAGCTGCGTGTTTGAGTTTGGCATGGCCCCAAGTTGCAGAAGGGAGCAAGTATAGTTATGCCCAGTACAATTGCACACTTGATTGGCACAGCCTCAGCTACAGAAGTGGGCAAGATGCCATACAGCTGTTTTTTCCTCTAATGTTTACATTTGGAGAGAAGCTGCCACAGGTTCCTCCTGTTCCCAAGGATCACGGTGTCATGCCTGTCCCCTGAGAAATGCCTCTCTGCCTCTTGTTGCTACTGTGTATAATAAATGCACTGGGGAAGGGGGGCACTGGTGTGTCTCCATCCAGAGCACACAAGCCTACCTGGCCCCAACTTTATGCATGTTTTGTCTTCTGTCTGTAGTCTTTTCTACATCTCCCGTCACCCTCAGTTAGGTTTCTAGGACAAGTGCGTGCAGGACACGAGATTAAATCATTTGTTTCATTTTGCTTTCAATTCTAGAGGTACGGTACCCTAACTTTTTGTTTTATAATTATGTAATATATTTACAGGATTCCAAAGAAAAATTTACAAAACATCTATTCAGAGAAATTCAGCTTCTATCTACCCTGTTCTCTATGTCCATTTGCATCTCTCCTTATAGGTAACCATGCTTTTTACTTTTTACTTTTTGTTATATATATATATCCCTCTCCTCCCCCTTTTTAAGTAAATAATAACATATGTGTACACTATTCTGTTTTACTTTTTTTTTTTTTGAGACAGGGTCTAACTATAACTAGCCCAGTTTGAGGCTGGCCTCAAACTCAAACTCATGATGCTTCTGCCTCAACCTCTCAAGTGCTGATTTTATAGATACTACCACCACATCTGGCTCTTCTTTGCCTTTTTTTTAGTCGGTACTTGGGTTTGAACTCAGGGCCTCATATTTGCTAGGCAGGAGCTCTACCACTTGAGCCACACCTCCAGTCGCCTCTCCCCTCTTTATTTTGCTTTTGTTATTTTACAGGTAGGGTATTGTGATTTTGCCCAGGGCCAGCCTCAGACTATGATCCCACTACTGTGTCCTCCTGCATAGCTGGGATTTATGGACCTGAGTCACCGTGTTCAGCTTCTTTGATTTTTAAACTTTACAGTGAATCCTAATGAATACTCCCTGTAAGTATCCATAGAAATATATAAAACATATTTTACAGTGCATATATCTCATTCTTTATTCTATAGAATATATATTAAATATATAGAAATAGCCTTTTTTTGTGGTTCAAACTAGGGTTTGAACTCAGGGACTACACGTTGAGCCACATCACCAGCCCTTTTTTGTGAAGGGATTTTCCAAGATAGGGTCTCTTGAACTGATTGCCCAGACTGGCTCCTCCTGATCTCTGCCTCCTGAGTAGCTAGGATTACAGGCACGAGCCACTGGTGCCTGGCTCCCTCATTTCTTTTTATAACTGCATAACATTCTGCTGTGTGGAAAGCCATTTGTGATGGGACATTTGTCTTTAGTCTTTTACTATCACAGATATCTCTGGTGTGAACAGTTCTGTGTATTCACTCTTGCATATCTGTGTGCCTGTATATCTTTGCAGTAGTTTCCCAGAAGTGTGATCGCTGAGTAAGGAGTGAATGCTTATGCAAGTCAGCTAGATTGTCCCATGTTCTCTGTAAGGTTGCACAATTCTGTATTCCTATCAGCAATGCTAAGCATCCCAGTTTCTCCACAGAATTACCAACAAAGTATGCTGATAAACTTCGTTTTATGCCAGTCTTGAAGATGAGAGATGGAAATTTCTCGGGTGTGGGGGGGTGGTCCTGGGATTTGAACTCAGGGTCTTGTGGTTGCTAAGCAAGCACTCTGCCACTTGAGCTATGCTTTTTCATGCTTTTTACCCTGGCCAGCTTTGAACTACAATCATCCTGCCTGCATAGCTGGCATTACAGGTGTTTGCCACCAAGTTCAGCCCACAATTCAGAATTTTTAATCTGAATTTGTATCTCTCTTGTTATAAATGAAGCTTCACTGTTCTTTAACCAAGGCAGCTTTCTTCCTCCCAATTCCTTAGAATGATCTTATCATGATCTATGGTAAAATTTTGAGGGGCCCAGAAAAGTCTCTTTGACATTTTTTCTTTTTGAGATAGGGTCTTACTATATATCCCAGGCTGGCCTCAAGCCCTCAATTTTCCTGTTTTAGCTCCAGAGTGCTGGGATTACAGGCATGAACCACCATGCTTGCTTCAACTCACTTTTTTTGGAATTTAGTATCTAAAGGAATGAAAGGGACAGCTTAAAAAAAGGAACCAAGAGTTACTAAGGTCAGAAGGGTGTGATGGTACATGCTTACAATCTCAGCACTTGAGAGGCTGAGGCAGGAGGATTATGAATTTGAATCCAGCCTGGGCTACATAGCAAGACCCTGTCTCAAAACCTAAAACCAACAAAATAAAATGGCTCAAAGTCTCAAGTAAAACATTTGACACATATTTTGTAACCCTAAATTCTCATACAGCAAAGTTAGAGGCTTATAAAATCTCTCAGGAAAAGTTCATAAATTGATCATGGGACTCTTCCACATGTACCATGTCCTAATGGAAGTAATCTTTTCCTACAAACACTTATAAGAATACTTTTCCAAAAAGAGAAATGTAGATTGAGAATGGAGGGGGTAGGAAAATATAAAATTAAAAGAACTTTAGAACATGATCTGCTTATTTCTAATTATACCATTTTTAAATAAAATTTATTACATAAATGTCTTTATCAAATTGTGAGATGCATGTTTTATGTAAATTCCGTTTTTTATAGACTTTGAAGAAATCTCACAATACACTAATAAAGGTTATTAGGTTATTAGAAATCTCACAATACTCTAATAAAGTTTCTTCAAGCTAAGAAACTTTAGCTTCTATTCCTCAGACTATCTTCCTGACTTCACTAAAAGTTTGAGAGCATAAATAAGGGGTCAGTCTGATAAAGTCATTGGTCAAAGAAAGGAGTAAAGTAAGAAAAATGCTAGAAAAACCAGGTAGCAACATAAGCTCAATAGAAAAGGGCTTACAAACATTATGATGCTGGAAGTAAATCTGTAAATCTCACACACTTCTCCTAAAGTAAGTAGAAAAAAAGGCATCCCAGTGCTAATTTTTCATTATTCACGTATATAAATGTTGAATTTTTATAAGTTTGATATGTCAGACACAGTGGCACATACTTGTAGTCCCAACACTCAGTAGGCCTGAGATTGGAGGATTGCTGAGTCCATGCATTCAAGACCAGCCTGGGCAACACAGCAAGTCAGTGTGTATCTGTCTGTCTGTCTGTCTCTCTCTCTGACACACACACCCAAACACACACAAATCAGCACTTATTGACCCTAAAATACTAAATTAGTTTCTCTAAGGCAGACTTCATGCCTAACTTACCTTGAGCTTTTGTGAGTCAGACAGCTTGAATGCATATAACTGTATAAACTAAACAGGTTCTTTCTATCACTTGAGATTCAGACTAGGGCCACAACATTTTAGTTAGAAATTACAGGTTTATTTTTATATTTTAAAAAAGACATAATAGAAAACAAAAATACAAAAACCACCAGGCACATTAATATTTGTGACATCATAATAATAATTTATATTCATACAAATAGCATATAGGAAATCATATGAGGAAAAAGGCTGGGTGTGAACAGATTTCTGATGAAATACTAAGGATTTTGCTTAAGTATCTAGGAAATGCTCAAATATTACCACCACTCTTTTTTTTTTTCTTTTGTGAGATGGGGTCTTGTATAAAACTCACCTGGCCTCAAACTCTGGATCCTCCAGCCTCAGTCTCCCAAGTGCTGGTATTTATAGGCTTGAGCCACCAAGCCAGGCATTACCACCTCTTGTATGTTCCATTTGTAAAAGTCAGCAAAACAATGATTTCTGTTGTTTAGTGGGGCATTTTTTGGTGATAATCCTGCTGCATTATGAACACTTACTTTATTCATCTATTGTGTGATGTCTTCTTGTATGAAGGAGTGGAATGAATATGAGGTTTGGTGAACCTGTGTGACACAGTGAATGCAACAGCTTAAAATGTTGATGCACATTTTAAAGGTATGAAAAAAAGCCAGGGGTAGTTATAATACTGACACAAATGGGTACATCTTGAGACACCTTTTATATCAATATGCCACTCTCCATTATAGGAACAATAATCTCAGATAGGTAAAATATATGAGTATTTTGCACAATAAACACTAAACATTTACCATAGCATGTCATTTTCCCTTTGTTCTCTTTTTTTCATTTTGCCTATTCCTAAAACTGCCAGAGAATACTCTCAGGGGATTAGGGACCACAAAACACACCCAGGTCTGGTGATTTGCTAAGAGGATTCACAGAATTTACAATATCACCATCATACTCACAGCTATGACTTAATGCAGCAAAAGCAAATGAAGCAGAGACTGGGTGTATAGCTCAGTCATAAAGCCTAGCAAGCATGAAATGCCACACCCAGCACTGCAAACAAACAAAAACAAAAAAAGGGCCAGTGGTATGGAAGGGGTAGTCTGTATATAAAAGGCCCTGGGTCCAATCTCCAGTACCATAAACATGACACACAAAGAAAAATAGCAAAGGAAAAAGGTACGTGGGGCAAGGTTGTGTGGGGGGGAACCAGGCACAGCTTCCCCAGTCCTCTGCCAGTAGAATCACGTAAGACATGCTTCACTTTCCCAGCAACTGAATTGTGACATGTATGAAATGTTGTGTACCAGGGAAACTTGTTGGAGATGCAGTGTCTAGGGTTTATACTGGGGACTACTCATGTAGGTAGCTTCTACCTGGTATGTACCAAAATTCTAGACGTCCAATAGAAAAGCAAGTGTTTGGTGGACACCACATTGTAGAAACAGCTTTTCACATTGTACCACTTTTATCAGTAAGAGTGGAGGGAACCCTCTTGATATCTAAGTTCCCAGATGTGGCAGCCAAGGACTAACTTTGTAATCAGGCCTTTCAAAGGATAACAATCCTTTGAAATCCTGCTGTGTTGCTCTTTTCTGCACATTCAGTGACAATCCCACTGAAATAATCACTATAGGTATTTTCAGATTCAAGAAGTCGCTTCTAATTCAGAAACATGAATTTAAAAACATATAATAGAGAATTTGCTGCCTGAGAAATGGTTAACTTACTTTGTCAATTATCATAGCTCAGCTTTCCTGAAGAGTAGAAGGAAAATATATAAAAAACAAAGGGAAAGTCAGTTTGGTCCTAATAAACATAAAATCTTGGTCCTCCAATATATAAAGAGGGTTCTTTCAGTATTGCTACCAGCAAAGCCTATAGATACCCATGTTACAATCAAGTAAAAATGGACTTTATATGACTATGTACAATTAAGCAAAAATAAAGTTGATGATCACTTGGTATTACTAGCTCGGACATGAACTTTAGAGGTAAGAGGTAAAAGAGGTACTATGATGCCATGTTTATGAAGATGACCTTCTTCAGCTAACATTTTGGGGATGCACAAGGAAACTTCCTTTTGTTGTTCTCGCCACTTGAGAATATTCTCTGCCAGTTCTTCTGTCTCGGTCACCAAAATGTCCATCTTGGCTAAAGCCTGGCTCTGTAACAATTGAAAGAAAAGGAAAATAAGAGAGAATCTTATCTATCATTAATAGAATCTTGTCTATCACAATTACATCACAAATGGTTATGATACCAAAAGTTAACACTTGATCTTTTTCCAACCCCTAACTGCAAAGCTCCTTAAGTTGTTCTCTCTCCCTTCTTACAGTGCAAACCTCTTTGTGAGTTCACCTATCTTTTGTCATCAATTATCAACTCAATGCAGATGTCCCTCAGTCTATGTTGTTAAACCTAACCTCCTTCCTAAAATGCAGTCCCATGTTTAAGTCTGTTGGCAAGCTTCATCTGGATGTACATTAAGTATCTTAAACTCAATTTAACTGCAGTACAACTGCCCAGTTTAACATGCAAGATGTCAAAGACCAAACTAATTAACTTTTTAAACCCATATTTGATCCCACTCACCCTAAAATCACCCAAGCTAAAAACTTCTCCAAATAGTAGCCAAGATCTAGAAATGTTACTTCCAAAATTAAAAAAAAAGTCGATTCACTCTTTGTATTCCTGTGTTTTAAATCTTTCATCTGAATGACTATAATTAGTCTCCAAGTCTATGACTAGTCCTCTCAGAACAGACCACATTTTAATACACACAGCAATCACCTGAGGAATTTGTTAAACTGTAGATTCTTATTCTGAAGGTGTAGTCTGCAATTTTGAATTTCTTTTTTTTATTCCTGGTGCTGGGGATAGAACCCAAGGCCTCACATGCTCTATCACTGATCGACTCCCAGCTCTGCAACTCTGTATTTCTAAAACACTCCAAGGTAATGCTGATACTCTGTGACCATGCTTTGAGTAAAAGGTTTAGACTACTCTGTCCAATATTTTCTCCATCATTAAGCCATAGTTCTGACCAAGTCATTCATCTGTGCCCTTCACCAAAAAATGGGGAAAAAAATTCAGTGGCTCCCTAGTACTCAGATAATAAGTCTAAAGTTCTTAGTCTGATTTCCAAGGAATTTCATAAACTACTAGTGATAACTTTAAGCATCAAAGTAGAATAACACTTTCCCTCTAAACTATCTGTGTGCCCCTTTAATGACTTTCTCACATTGTTGCATCTTATTTTATAGAATCTTCAAAATTAAGTTCTCCACTAATTTCTATATAAAAGTTTATGAAATCTTCCTATACTCTATTGTACTCCCTACACTAAAAGTAATCCCTCCTCCCTTCCCTGTGCTTAGCAGATAGCATCTCTTCATAATTTTGTGCTATACTTATTATGTAAATACAATCTTATAAAGTAAAAAGTATGTATCTTGTTTAGTGACATGACACATGCCTATAATCCCAGCACTCAGAGGGGTGCTGGGATTCAAGCCCACAATGTGCTACGTAGCAAGACGCTGTATCCCACCCCTCCCATCCCCAAAAATATATGTATCTTATAGCTGTCTCATCAAGCTATTGAGGGCAGGGACCAATCATATTTATCCATCCTTTACAATACATGTAACATAGCCCTTGCATAACAAAGATATAACTCATATTTATTAAATGTTGGGATAAAAGATTTAAAATAACTCCCAAAGAAAAATGATGTAGCCAGGCTCCAGTGGCTCATGCCTGTAATTCTAGCTACTTCGGAGTCTGTGTGGTTCAAGCAGTAAGAATGCCTGCTTTGCAAGTTTGAAGTCCTGAGTTCAAACCCCAGTTCTATTTAAAAAAAAAAAAAGGATGTAAAACAATGTAAAAAAGAAAACACCTTTTTTTTTTTTTTTTGCAGTACTAGGGCTTGAACTCAGGGCCTACACCTTGAGCCACTCCACTAGAACTTTTTTTTTTTTTTGTGATGGGTGTTTTTGAGATAGGATCTCTCAAACTATTTGCCTGGGCTGGCTTCGAACCTCCATCCCCCTGATCCCTGCCTCCTGAGTTGCTAGGATTACAGGCGTGAGCCATTGGCGTCCAGCCACTTTATGATTTTAAAAATAAGTAGCTCATAATATTTGCCATTAAAAAGTTAAATGAATGATGGGTACCTGTGGCTCATGCCTATAATCCTAGCTACTCAGGAGGCAGAGATCAGGAGGATCGCAGTTCAAAGCCAAATAGTTCACAAGACCCTATCTCGAACAAGCCCTTTAAAAAAAAGGACTGGCAGAATGGCTCAAGATATAGGCCCTAAGTTCAAACTCTAGTACCACCAAGAAAAAAAAAAAAAGTTAAATGAAAACAGGCAGTCAAGTCTTGTAAACCCAGCTACTCAGGAGGTGGCGATTCAGAGGATTGAAATTCAGGACATCCTGGTCAAAAAGTTAGTAAGACCCCATCTCAATCAATAAGCTCATCTTGGTAGTACCTGGCTTCGATCTCAGCTACATAGAAAGCCATATGTAGGAGGTTCAAGGTCTAAGGCCAGCCTCTGGTAAAAACTTGAGACCCTACCTGAAAAATAACTAAAGAAAAAAAGGCTGGGGATGTGGCTCAAGTGGTACCGAACTTGCCTAGTAGGTATGAAGCACTTAGTTCAAACACCCCTACTGCCAAATCGCCCCCCCCCACCAAAAATAAAACCCCAATATTGCCAAAAAGAAAAACAAAAAAAAGTCAAATGAGAGCTGGATGTGGTGACTCATGCCTATATTCCTAGCACTTGGAAGTGAAGGGAGGATGATGTGAATTCAAGGCCAGTCTGAGCTACATAATGAGAACCTGTCTCAAAAAAACCAAAGACTGAGAATGTAGGTCAGTGGCTGGGTTTGATGCCCAGCACCGCAAAAAAAAAAAAAGTTAACTGATAAAATCACATATTTAAGATTCTACTAAAAGAGAACTAAAACTAAAGATACCTATACTAATACTCACCATTTTCTTCAGGTTTGCATCTAAATGAGGAATATTTCTAATTGTTTCAAGATGGGTTTCCAATCTCTCAATGAAAGTGATAGCCAACTCCAGCAAATTTACCATATGTCTGAAAAAGGGAGATAAAATTTAACTATTTTTTTCTCTTAGTTATTTTGTGTCTCCTTTCTTTTAACTATGACTCTTAATTTCAAGTAAGTGAATTATAATTAAACAAACAAACCTCTACATTCCTAGAAATATCAGTGATTAAAAAAAAGGTCCTTTTCTTGTCAGTGTGGCTCAAGTGGCAGAGTGCTACTCATGTGCAAAGCCCTGAGTTTGAACTCCAATACCACCAAAAAAAAAAAAAAAAGAAAAAACACAAAAACTTGACTTGTCATCCAAATACAAAATGGAAAGACACACATTAATCATCATATCGGGACCCAACCTAATATTCAATAACCCTCAATGGTAATAGTTTTCTAGTATAAGGAATTTCCCTAAGAAAAATACTTCATTCCATTTCAGTGAAGAATGAAGACAATAAGAACAAATACTATCTTCATGTAAAGCTACAGTGAATCTTTCACTACAAAACACTTTAAAATCATTACTCAGCTCCTCTCTGGTGTAGTACAATATGCCCATTAATGATTAGATGCTCAGTACAGCCACAAGAATGGGGTTTTCCGTCAAGCCCTTTCTTTTTGGTGCTTCTGGGGTTTGAACTCAAAGCATTCTACCACCTGAACCACTCCACCAGTCCAAGAATGGGGTTTTATGTGCCTGTTATCTTATTACAAAATAAAACATTCTGACACTTAAGATACTGATTTACTTTAAGTCAATTACTGAGGCAGTGGTAAAGAAAGCAATCAAATGCCCAGATGCTTGCCTCATTATTTTACTATTATTTATTATTAGTAATAATCTACACCTTCAATTTGATACTCGTTATACTCCTATGAGAAAGAAAGTGGAGTGGAGGTGTGTCTCAAGTGATTGAGTACCTGCCTAGTAAGCAGGAGGCCCTGAGTTCAAACCCCAGTACCTCCAAATGAGAGAGACAGAGAGAGAGAGAGAGAGAGAGAGAGAGAGAGAGAAAGCAATAGAAATCATCTCCATTCCATGGACTGGGAAATGGAAACAAAAATTTAAATCATTTTCCCAAGACTTTGAGGCATATAAACAGTAGAGATGAGATCAGAATCCAATTTTTTCCCATCTTATTGAAATTGTTTTCATCCGTCCATATTAAACACACCCAACAGAATCCTTATCTATAGGTAATACAACTCAACAATAAATTTACATGAGGATAGGTAAGACACCTAAAAAATTAGTTAGCATTTGTTGCCCTTAACGCAGAGAAACTAAAGCAGATACCTTAAAAGCAACTGAGGCCAATAGGAAAAGGGGACCAGGAACTAGAGAAAAGGTTAGATCAAAAAGAATTAACATAGAAGGTAACACACACGCACAGGAAATCAATGTGAGTCAATGCCCTGTATAGCTATCCTTATCTCAACCAGCAAAAACCCTTGTTCCTTCCTATTATTGCTTATACTTTCTCTACAACAAAATTAGAAATAAGGGCAAAATAGTTTCTGCTGGGTATTGAAGGGGTGAGGAGGAGAGGGAGGGGGCGGAGTGGGTGGTAAGGGAGGGGGTGGCAGCAGGGGGGAGAAATGACCCAAGCCTTGTATGCACATATGAATAATAAAAGGAAAAAAAAAAAAACAATAAATTTACTCCACAGAAAACAGCCTACACGTATCCACCCTGTTCATATTATGGATCTAATTGTTTTCTTTAAAGCCACAGTTTGTAATTCTCCAAACACAATGAGCAAAAGGAAGTCCTTTCTTTTCATTGTAGCTATAATTCTTCAAAAACAAAGGATTTTCTTCTTCTTTTTTTGGTGGGGGCAGCACTGGGATTTCAACTCAGGGCCTCACACTTACTATGCAGGTGCTCTTACTACTTGAGCCACTCTGCCAGCCATCCCCCCACCCCCCATGGATTTTCTTTCTGGTTTAACATATCAACATTAAGACTGTTAACAAATATAACCAATAATACATTGTTTCATGAATTGAACTACAAAATAACTGCCAGTCTGAACCAAAACTACCTTCAGAAAACATGTTTGACTATTCATTTCTACTTCTCAGTCTAACCTGTGATAAACGGCTTCCAAAGGTAAGTTTTCCTGGCACATGGGTTTCAACAGCCTTTGTCTTAGGGACCTTTTCTCTTTTAGCACAGCTTCCAGATGATTATTCATGCTTTGCAGAGTGTGACATTTCTCAGCTACATAAACCAGAAACAGTATTTACAGTTAGTTAGCAATAGGACAAGTAAGTTTTGGAATCACTAATAATTCCTTCTTTGGTTTGGCAATATCAGCATAAAAAATTAACCCAAGACTGGGTACACTGGCATAAGCACGTAATCCCAGCACTTGGAAGTCTGAAGGCAGGAAGATCACTTGCTGTCAGGAGTTTGAAACCAGCCTGGGCAACATAGCAAGACCCTGCCTCAAAAAATAAAAAAAAAATAATATCTCACAAGTTCTAAATCTCTCCTCTTGCTATCTTTAATACCAATACTAATTTCATTTTCAACTATTTTCTCTTGCTTTTCCTACCGACAAGCAAATCTAGTGCTAAATTCTTTTCATTTCTCAACTTTACCTCTTACTCAGTTTTTATAACCAGAGTCATATTCTTCACATAGTCTCTTTACCTATCCTGCCTCTAATATTCTCCATGGAAACATTAAAAAATGGTCATTTTACATGGTATTGATTACCTCAGAATTTTCCTCAGAATGCAGCGAATGGCTACCAAGCGCCCCTTTTACAAATTTTTGATTTGAAAAAAACTGAACTTACATTAGGTTTTGTTTGTTTGTTTTGTTGTTGTTTGTTTTTTGAAACAGGGTCAGCCCAGCTGGCCTCAAACTCTTGAATCTGTCCCTCAGCCTTCCCAAGGCTGGAATTACAGATGTGAGCCATCCTGCCAGGCTTTACAGAAAAGTTTTAAGAAAAGTTCAGTAGATTTCCATATATATTTTTCCTAGACCCATCGTTAACATTTGGCCCATTTTCTTTTTTTTCTATCTCCCCCCTTTACACACACAGACACCATTTGTTCTCAGGATTCCTTTGAGGGTCAGTTGTAGACAACATGATCTTCTCCCTTTAAAACTACAGCATGGATTTCCCAAGAACAGGAGTATTCACTTCTATAATTATAGCACATTCTCTAATGCACTACTTTTTTTCCAGAAAATTTAATGACACAAGCATAGCAAGTGTGAGTCCCTGAGTTCAAGCCTCACTGCTACCTAACATATAACTAAAACTAGACATAGATTAAAAAAAAAAGTTAACTTGGAACTTTTGAGATGATCTGTAAAATACTTCTCTACCTGTTTTTACAATGTATTAAATGTAAAATAACGTGCTTTCTTCAAATGGTAATCTAATGGAGTACTCTTTGGACAGTAATCTTTCCATAGAACTAAGCTTGTTTTACAGATAAATTGGTTTTAACTTTGTAACTATGTCTTGTCAAAATTCTTCATGATACAAAGAACTTGTGTCAAGATGTTAGCTATCATTTTAACAGAGGACTCCAGGTAAATTTAGCCTATGACCCACTCTTTCTAAACCTCTTTTGTAGCTCAAATTTGGCAAAAAAAAAGGGGGGGGGGCAGCTTTTTTTATATTGCCTTTCCCCCTATGTGAGATCAGATGGACGAAGAGGCATGCCCATCTCTCACCACAGAATGATTAACCAAAGATGACTTCAGAGAAAAAAGTTTGTTCACAGACAAGGGGGAAACTGTCAAGATCACAATGTCCTACCAAAAATAGTAATTACGCAGAAGGGATCATATGAAGATGGGATAGGTATCCTTCCACTAGGCAGAGCTATTAGATAAGGTTAGACCTTAGCTCCTGCTCATATTGGGCTCATGGTACTTCAGACACAGACATATGGCTCCTTTTTTACTTATATGCTGCAGGTGCCCTTGATGGAATCCATGTACCAATCCAGTAATAGATGGCCAACTAGATGACACAGCATCCCAAATCCCTCAAGACCGAGGAATGGACAAGAAAAAGAGGGTCTAAAAATGGGGACTCTAGGAATTAGGAACCCTGCAGGAAATACCATGCTGGGGAATTAAGATGGGCTGCTCCAAGAGCCCTGATGCCAGAAGAAAGCACAGTTCGCTGTTTTCTTGATTTTGGGAAGCTGCTATGGTTTGGATATGGCTTGAGTGTGTTGGAAGCTTGGTCTTCAGTGTGGTGGTATTGGGAGATGTTGTGGAACCTCTAAGAGCAGAAGCATTATGGGAAGTTCACTGAGGGCACTGCCCTGGGAAGGAATGACATAATTCTCCTGGGATTCTAGTTAGGGTTAGTTCTTTTGGAAGGGTTGTTGGAAAAGAGAGAGCCTGACCGCTGAATTGCTCTTTAGCTTCCTGTCTTGCTATGTGATCTTTCCCTCTTACCAAGTGTTCTGTCATTGTGATGGCATCCACAATGAGGTCCTCACCATAACCAAGTCAATGCCATGCCCTGGAATCTCAAAAACTGTGAGCTAAATAAACCTTTTTCTTTATATATTACCCAGCTATACTTTGCTATAGTAACAGAAAAAAAGACTAATATAGGAGCCAACTTAGGTCATTTTCTATGCTATTTTCACTAGAGAAGTCAATAGGACTTGTATTTGAGCATAGAAACAGTAGACTTTGGTTAGCTGTGGGACAATACCTGAGAAAAACTATGGCACATAATTTTTTTTTTTTTTTGTGGTGTTGGTATTGGAGTTTGAATTCAGGACCTTGCATTTGCTAGGCAGATACTCTACCACTTGAGCCATGTCCCAAGCCCTTTTTGTTTTTATTAGTTTGGGATAGAGTCTCATGTTTAGATCCAGGTCAGCCTAGACCTAGTTATGTTTCCCATGTAGCTGGGATGACAGGTACGAGCAACTGCCTGTCCAGTTTTTACCTGCTGTCCACCACCATGCCTAGCTTTTATTGGTTGACATAGGATCTCATGAGATTTTTGCCTGGACTGGCCTCAAACATGATCCTCCTGATCTCCGCCTCCTGAGTAGCTAGGATTACAGGCACAAGCCCCTGAGCCTGGTGAGGCACATCCTGATTTTGCTGCTGTTGCTTATTTATAGTAAGCCAAGAAAAAAGCTGAAATTGCAGTGTTTACCCATTTAACCAAGCCACTTACCTAAATAGAAAGAATGAGCAACATCTGCTGTATCTTTTTCTAGTTTCAGAAGTTCAATTTCCAGGTTTTTCTACATTAGGAACAAAATTAACATTTAGCTCACTCAGAAAATATATGAAGTTAAAGACTTAAACATTATTGATAAAAATGGACAGTCTTTAATCTAGGAACATGCTACCATATATTCCTAAAGTCAGATGGGAAAGGATGATTTATATAAGAGCCCAGGTGATTTACTGAAGCTTTCCATTTTGGCATTCTTGTCCTGCTGCTATTGTTACTACAATTAACTACTGTTATTACTACTACTAGTAAGTACTGCAAAAAACATTTATCTAGTTATGTACTAGACACTGTTCTAATTACAAGGGAATGTTGTTGAACTAATGTTTGATTTTGGTGCTGAGGACTGAGCCCAGGCCCTATACATACTAACCACTTGTACTTTCACTGAACCACACCCCAGCCTAAGATTTTTTTTTCTTTCTGTAGAAGTAGAAAGTGAAAAGTTCAATATAATTTACCTGGTAGATTTCAGCTTGAATATTTGTGATCTGCTGTAGTCTGGAGAAGTTCTCAAAGCAAGGAGCTGTTTTCTTAGATATATTTAACATCTCCTATTGGTAAATAAACAAGGAAGGCATCAGGATGTCACAAACAGTTCCTGTTTACATCGGAACAGCATGGCCAAGGGACTGAAAAGTGACACTATGTCCAACACTACCCCTGAACATGGAGAGTAAAGCACTAGAAATGTGTATTTCCACTTTTGAGAACCTTCACCACCACAAATCTCTTGCCCAAATATTTTTTTAAATGCAAAGTAAACAAGACAATCACTTTGTATTATTTCCTGAGGTACCACACACAATAGATTTACATTACTGATGGTGTATCAGAGGCTTCTGAGGCTAGGTTGAGGAAGAATCACCTCTTCCTTTCCAAATGACCCAGGCCTACTTTCCCTGACCTTTCTGGGGCTAAAATCAAACATTCCTCCCTTCCATGGAATTATCTACCAATTCATTAAATGATCTCAACTACATACAAGTCATCCCTACAATCTCTGTTCACATTTCCTCTCTTATATAAATGAATGTGTCCAGGCATAATGATTCTTCTATAAAGGGTACTACTCCTTTTTTTTAAATTCTTTTATTCTAATATTCCCTGTTACACTGTCCTCTTAAGTTTCAGGCTATCTCAGAATACAGATAATACCTTGCTCATCTCTTGATTTCATACAAAATTTTCTGTACCTTCTTTTCTAGAATGTTAGCAAAGGAAAGAACTTTAGCCAGGCACAGTGGCATATGTGTGTGATCCCAGAACTGAAGAGATGAAGGCTGGAAGATGATGGTGATTTCAGGGCCAGCCTGGACTACATAGTGAGACCTTGTCTCAAAACAAAACACAATTTGGGTGCCAGTGGCTCATGCCTGAAATCTTAGCTACTCAGAGATCAGAAGAATAGCAGCTCAAAGCCAGCCCGGGGCAAATAGTTCGTGAGACCGTATCTGGAAAAAACCCATCACCAAAAAGGGTTGGTGGAGTGACTCAAGATGTAGGCCCTGAGTTCAAACTCCAATACCAAAAGAAAGAAAGAAAAAAACCCAAACACCCCAAAACACAAAATAAACAACAACAACAAAAAAACCACTGAGCATGATGGTACACACTTGTAATCCCAGGTACTCAGAAGCTGAACCAAGAACATTGAAAGTTGAAGGCTAACCTAGGCAACTTAATGAGACCCTGTCTCAAATAAAATTAAAAAGGGCTGGGATGTAGCTCAGTGGTAATGTGCTTGTCTAGCATGCACATGGCCCTGGGCTCAACCTGCAGTACTGTGAAAAAATAGTAAAGAAATTAAGAAAATGGTAACATTCAAATTTCAGGGTCCAGAAATAAGGTTTCATTGGAACATATCTTCTTTCATTCAAATATAAATCATTTTTGTGTGTGTGTTGGGGGGGGGACTGGAGTTTCAAACTCAGGGCTTCGCACTTGCAAAGCAGGCACTGCACTGTTTGAGCCACACCTCCAGTGCATTTTGCTCTGATTATTTTGAAGATGGGGGTCTCGCCAACTATTTCCCCCGGCTGGCTTCGAACCTCGATCTCAGTGTCAAGTAGCTAGGATTACAGGCCTGAGTCGATTCCTGGCTCTCTTCTGTACCTTCTGCTCCAAATACTCCAATGGAGTTATTGGAAATACTTGTTTTTAACTACATGCCAGTACTTCCCAACCCTGCCTCATGCTATTATGATCTAGAGGCAGTGTCACTTGAAAATCAGCAGAACACGGCCCTATGTCCCACAGACTGGCTCGGGTAACTTGCCTTCAAACACTCCAAACAGTCTACTTGAAACCCCATCTTCTCAAACCCTCGCTTTCAAAAAGCCCACGGCGGAATGGTCACAGCTGCTGCCTGGCAGTGGCTCTGTCGCCTTCACAACACCCCCCAACCAGCCCCCTCACCACTCCCGCGGCCAGCACCATCACCTCACAGCCAAATTCTGTCGCCACCGCGAGCACCCCCTTGATGACGCCATCGCCGCCCCCACGCACCTGAGAGACAGTCCCTGATGCCACAAACTGGCCCAGCAGTAACCCAGCTGCATTTGGCTCCGAAGCCGGGTCCCACGGGTTGGGGGAAGCCATGACTCCGACCCGCCTCAGAGGGTGGCGCCAGGAGTGAACAGAACGCGGGGCGAATGCTCGGCGCGGCGTGATGACGTCACAGGGCGTGTCCGCCTGGGCAGAAGCCCTGGGAGCGCATCCCAGGCGAGCGTGGGTCCCGGGTCTCCCGCTGCGGGGCCTTCCCTCCACTGAGCTGTAGGAGGCGAGTCCCGGGCTCCCGTGTCCTTCGGAGGCTCCCGGAGACTCCTGGCCTCTGAACAGCTGCAAAAGCAGCAGGACTTGGTGTGCCGGCTGTCTGTTCTTCCCTTTCCTTTTTGCTCCTCCTGGGCTGGCCCCCAGGATCCAGAGATCGGGAGGAGGTGACAGTCGGGGCTGGAAATCCAACCTGGAGATTGACCGGGTGGCTGTGTGCCTAGACAGGGCGGTGACAGCTCCGCTTCCTTCTGGCAGGAATCCGAGCCGCGGCGCGAGGATGGGGAACAGTGCTCTCCGCGCTCATGTAGAAACGGCGCAGAAAACTGGTGTGTTTCAGCTTAAGGACCGCGGGCTGACCGAGGTGAGGCGGGGCCGGGCCAGGCCAGGAAACTTAGGGGAGAGGGACGGCGGGGGTGTCGAGTTTAATCGGCGCGGGGTTCTCCACGCCGCGAACTCCTTTCTCCAGTTCCCCTCAGAGTTGCAGAAGCTGACCAGCAACCTTAGGACCATCGACTTGTCCAACAACAAGATCGAGAGCCTACCGCCCCTGCAGATAGGGAAGTTCACTCTGCTGAAGAGCCTCTCCCTGAACAACAACAAACTGAGTATGGCTTTCGCGCCTGGGCAGCTTTTGCTAGAGATCAGCAGTTACGAAGGGTGGTTTTCTCTTATGAGCTGGGTTTTGGTATTATGAAACCATTCAGACGGTTCAAGATGCAGAGTGTCAGAGCCCTGGAAGCTTTCTACCTCTTACGATTACATCTGCAAGTCTCCTTGGATGGTATAATAATTACTGGGGTAATTTGGACTTGAAAGGGAAGATATTTGGGATGTGTTGTAAACAAAATTACCTAATTTGGAAGGGGGGACGGAATGGGAAGGGGAGAATCTTCTAAATCTCACAAAATTGTGAATTGTGCCCAGTCACCTTTACAAAAGGAGCCCATTTTACACGTAAGTGCTCTCCTGCATTTTGATGGCACCCTTGCCTTCTGAAGACAGTAAAATGCAGTCCCTAAGAATGGCACACGTAGGAATTCTACACTTATTAGCAAGAGATGAAGCAGGCTGTCATATATTCTTTATGAGCTTCATCAAAGGTGTTTCTGAGCTTTGTCAGATTCAGGTTTTTTTTTTTTTTTTTTTTTTTTAATTTTGCCAGCTGTTTTACCTGCTGAGTTATGCAATCTGAAAAAACTGGAGACGCTAAGCCTAAACAACAATCACCTGAGAGAGCTACCGTCTACCTTTGGGCAACTCTCTGCCCTCAAGACCCTGAGCCTTTCTGGGAACCAACTGGGAGCACTACCACCCCAACTTTGTAGCCTGCGGCACCTGGATGTGGTAGATCTTTCTAAAAACCAGATTCGGAGTATACCTGACACAGTGGGGGAGCTGCAGGCCATCGAACTCAACCTCAACCAGAACCAGGTCTAGAGCTTAAGGTTTTTTACTAGCATGTATTTTGGTTTATGGTCACCTCATAAACTCTTGTTTTCTTAGCTATTATCATGGAGTTTGGTATCTGAGATTAGAAGAGAGGTATATTCTATAAGATGAACTAATTTCAGTGCCCAGAGTGTCATGGAGTTAGTTAATTGGGACACTGGGTGGGTTTGGAGGAGGGCCAGTGGGTAACAAACAGGGTTAGATCATTTTAATCTCAAAATTATTAACTACCAAAAGTCCCACAAATCTTGAAGCGTTCTTCAGATCCCCCTCAAATATGCCCCTCATCATCTAGCAAGGAGCTATGCCAGAAATCTAAGTGTAGAAATGAGACAAACTTACAGGTTCTGAGAGTTAGGTATCCCAAGTTAATTCAGTTTGTTTTTTACATCTTTGTTAGCTGTGGTATCCTGCTTTTGCTTAAAAAACTTAAGTGATAGGCTTTCTGGAGATAGCCCATTTTGTTGTTGAGTAGCTTTAATTATACTTGAATTTTGTTTTCATTGCTTTGGGGGCTGACAGAGTGGCTCAAGAGGTAAGAATGCCTGCCTAGCAAGTATGAGGCCCTGAGTTCAAACCCCGGTGCCACCAAAAAAAAATAAATAAAAGAAGAACATTGCTTTGGAAGCTTTGTGGATAATATTTTTCTGAAGAAAAAATCTTTGGTCTAGACATAAGGCACAAGTGATGAAACAAATATTGTGACACTGGGTGGCCTTTAGTTTTTCTAACATCTGCACAATCTAGTTTAGTTACTAGCCTCGTGGCGATTACCATTCTAGATTGTGGTTGACCTTATGGGGTTCAGTTTTTTGAGGAGACTGGCCTTATCTTTTCCTTGAGGTTCTTGGAGGGAAAAAAAACCTGAATGAGTTAAGCCACAAGTATTAGTTCAGGACTTTACTCAATATTCACCTTTGGTAATGCCTTGGATAATGAATGGTTCTCACTTTAGGGTGTAGTAGAATAATCTGGGGTGCTTGTTCAATATCACCACTGGACCCTCCTTAAGTGTCTCTCATTGGGTGAGCCTGGGATGAAGTCTAAGAATCTGCATTTCTTGTAAGTTCTTAGAGGACACTCTGAGATGGTACCAGGTAGTCAATAAAATTTGGTGACTTGGGGCTAGGAATGTAGGTTGGTGGTAGAGTGAGTGCCTAACATGCTTGAGGCCCTGAGTTCAACTCCCCCCCCCACCCCAGTCCTAGAACTGGGGCTGCTTGGTATTGACCTTAGGGGTCTAAGCAAACAGTTCTACCAAGAATGGACATTTGAGTTGATTATGGTTAATGACCTAAATGGAAATATTTTACTGAAAGTTGGAGACATAAAAAGTGGAACAGAGTAGATATATAAACACAGATTTTGAGGATGTAAGTGAAAATAATGGCTTTAAGAATGAACTTTCAAAGAGAAAGTTGAAAGAAATGATTAAATATGAATTAGGGACTTTCGCTTGAAAAATGTTCATAAAAAGTAAGAATGGGGCTGGACATGGTGGCTCACCCCTGTAATCCCAGGTACTCAGGAGGCAGACACTGGGAGGATTATAATTTGAGGTCAGCCTGAGTAAAAGGTTAGTGAGACCTAATCTCCATCACGCTTCTGTAATGTAGTGGTGTGCTTCTGTAATCACAGCTATGTGGGAGGCTGTGGGTTATAGGATCGCACTCCAGGATGGCCTGGGCAAAAAATGAGACCTTACCTAAAAATAAATAAATGAAGCAAAAAAGGACTGGGTGTGTGGCTCCAAGTAGTGGAATGCCTGCCCTGGAAGCACAGGCCCCGAGCTTAAACCCAATACTTCAAAAAAAATAATAATTATAAGGGAAACCAAGTCAGGAATCACTCAAGAGATTGAAAGAAAGAACAGGTACTTAGCACAAAAAGGAGTTTCAAGGAACCAACAGAGCGAGCACTGGTGACTAGCTACTTGGTAGGCTGGGAGTGGGGGGATTACAGTTCAAGGCCAATCCAGGCAAACAGTACAAGAGATCCCATCTTCACAATAACCAGAGAAAAATGGACTGCAAGTGTAGCTCAAGTGATAGAACTCCAGTTTTGCAAATGTGAAGCCCTGAGTTCAAACCCCAGTCCCATTAAAAAAGAAAAAGAAAAAAAAAGGAATGGATAGTATAGTCACATGTAACAGGGAAGGAAAGCAATGTATCCTTGACCTCAGCAGTGAAGTGGATGGCTGTTATCTATGTATACATAAAAGGTTGGCAGTAAATGTTTGGGTGGCAGCTTACAGGTAAACTTTTTCCTTTAAAATTGTGTGGTTCTCAAATTTTCTGTAATGAACATACAGTGGTTTTATAATCAGAAAGTTGTTTCCAAAAAGTCATTGGTGACCTTCAAAAAAGCATTTTATTTTTCAAGTGGAGGAGTAACAGAAGGTATATAACAGAGGCTTCTGTAGTGAGTAGGTAGTGAGAATACAGAGGCGGTAAAGGAAAGAAGTAGGACAAATAGTCAAGATTTCTTACTTGTTTTAATGTAGTAAGAAGTGTGCTTATGCTTTTTCCCCATTGTTCTGTCATTTTGTTCAATAGATATCTCAGATCTCAGTAAAGATATCTTGCTGTCCTCGCCTTAAAGTTCTTCGCCTGGAAGAGAACTGTCTTGAGCTCAGCATGCTTCCACAGAGCATCCTCAGTGATTCCCAGATCTGTCTGCTTGCCGTGGAAGGCAATCTTTTTGAAATAAAGAAGCTGCGAGAACTGGAAGGCTATGATAAGGTATGTAGTAGTGGATTGCACTGCTAGTCTCTGCCTCAGAGAATACAGTACCAAGGTAACCCCTATGAATGTTTGTAGGTAACATCAACAGGTTCTGTTTGTCCTCATTTTGGAGGTGGTTCTAAGAATTGGCCAAATGGTATTGTGCCAAGATGACTTTCTCTATAGATAGCTTATTGTAAAGCATTTTTGATGTTTTCTGCTAAAAATAAAAAAAGTTTTTAACTACATGCTTTGAATTTGCCTCAAAAATGGACCAAATCCAATCAAAACTAAAATGAAAAAAATAAAAAATAAAAACCCAAGTTAACAAATAGTCTTATATTTGCTCATACTAAAACAACACATATATTTTTTTCTTTCATGATTTTTAGTACATGGAGAGGTTCACAGCCACCAAGAAGAAGTTTGCATGATCTCCAGGACCACGGGACCTTACAGGACACTGACTTGGAACCTCTGTTGGAATCTGGCTGACTCAAAGGCCCCTGTTGTCAAGGATACTGCAGTGAGTCGAGGACACTCTAGAAGATTACATTTTGCTCAGTGACCTTTTTCCTTTTCAGGGCAATCTCTATAAGCTCAAAGAAAAGGAATCAGGAGATGGGACGAGTCCTCCACTTTTGAGTCATGGATAGGGCAATGGATAATGAGGATCTTCAAAACCATCATTAGTTTGGCTTTAAGGAACCAGTAGCTAGTTGCTGTTTATATGGTGAGGGGGTGCTGCCTGGTAACAGAATAGCTCCATACCACAGCTTGAGATTATGTTTAGTTTTAATGTGTGAGCTTTCATAAAGTCAGTTGCCATTCCACCTGTGTTAACACTTCATCTTTTTATAAAATTTATGTAATTTGTGAGAAATTGTTATGGTTAATCTAAGGAGTAATGATTTTACTCCAATCCATCAGCTCAGTTGCAGTGTTTATACTTAGAATTTAGGAGATACATAAATATGTGACTTTTTTTTTTTTTTTTTGTGGTACTGGGGCTCTAATGTGGAACCTCACACCTGCTAGGCCAGCACTGTGACAGTCTGTTTGATTAAAGTGTGTTTTGTCAGAGAAACACCAACAAAACACTAAGAGATGTTCCCCAAGGCTGCCGTAGCAAATTCTTACTGTTGCAGGTGCCTTACTGGTAGAGGGCTCTGAAGAGCTAAAACTGTATATGCAACACTTGTCAAATTTAAAATGAATTTTAAACATCAAGATTTTCCTGAAGCTTTGTTTAAAAATATGTCTTTTATTTCTGATAATCTTTCCCTTTTGTATTTATAACTCTACTAATCACTTTCAAGAAACAATTACTACAATATTTTAAAACAACCATGTCTGTCAAGTTTGTTCTCTGAATGAGAAATATACTAAATAAATTATTTTTAATGAACTTTGACTGGAAGCAAGGTTTAATCCTTTAAAGAACATAGAATATAGAACTTTAACCTGTAAATTGTCCTTTGTTCTTTGGAAGTAAACTGATTTGGAAGAAATGTTTCATGTTCTTATTTAGGTTTCTTAATGAAATACCTTCATTTTGAATAAGAGGTATTAAAATCAAGCTTATTAAGAGAATATGAAGGTACAAATGTAGAGGGTTTAAATTGTCCCTGACATGAGCACTTAGGAAGCTAGCTAGCATTTTGTCATTTTCTGAAGTTTTATCTGAGGATATTCTGACAGTACTCAATAATGTTTAAAAACCTAGCTAAAGTTAAGAAAGCATAAGAGCCTCCTTAATTAAAATGAGGTAGTCACTCTGACCTCAAATTTGGTTTAGGTATTCTTCTGTTCCCCATATATTATATTCTCTGTTTCTCAATTTAGTGAGGGATAAGGGGGGGCCAGTTAGTCAATATCATTTGAAGAATTTTTTTTCTAAACTTTAATGTTTACTCCTCTTACTGATCCACTTAACAATTAACTTATTTTTTTTTTTTGCAGTTCTGGGGCTTGAACTCAGGGCCTACACCTTGAGCCACTCCACCAGTCCTTTTTTGTGATAGGTTTTTTTTTTTTCTCCAGATTGGATCTCACACACTACTTGCCTATGTTGGCTTCAAACCGAGATCCTCCTGATTTCTGCCTCCTGTGTAGCTAGGATTATAGCCAGGAGCTACTAGCGCCCAATTCTTAACTTTTTTTAAATTCATATTCGCATACAATGTTTGGGTCATTTATCCCCCTTCCCCCCCCCCCCCCGCCCTGTCCCCTCCCTTACCCCCTCAACCCCTCGCTACCAGGCAGAAACTATTTTGCCCTTATCTCTACTTTTGTTGAAGAGAGAGTATAAGCAGTAATAGGAAGGACCAAGGGTTTTTGATAGTTAAGGATAGCTATACAGGGAGTTGACTCACATTAATTTCCTGTGCATGTGTGTTACCTTCTAGGTTAATTCATTATGATCTAACCTTTTCTCTAGTTCTTGGTCCCCTTCTCCTATTGGCCTCAGTCGCTTTAAAGTATTTGCATTAGTTTCTCTGCATTGAGGGCAACAAATGCTATCTAGTTTTTTACCTATCCTCACCCCTCCCTTGTGTGCTCTCGCTTTATCATGTGATCAAAGTCCAATCCCCTTGTTGTGTTTGCCCTTGATGTAATGTCCACATATGAGGGAGAACATACGATTTTTGGTCTTTTGGGCCAGGCTAATCTCAGAATAATGTTCTCCAGTTCCATCCATTTACTTGTGAATGGTAACATTTCATTTTTCTTCATGGCTGCATAAAATTCCATTGTGTATAAATACCACATTTTCTTAATTCATTTGTCAGTGGTGGGGCATCTTGGCTGTTTCCATAACTTGGCTATTGTGAATAGTGCTGCAATAAACATGGGTGTGCAGGTGCCTCTGGAGTAACCTGTGTCACATTCTTTTGGGTATATCCCCAAGAGTGGTATTGCTGGATCATATAGTAGATCTATGTTTACATTTTTAAGTAGCCTCCACATTTTTTCCCAGAGTGGTTGTACGAATTTACATTCCCACCAGCAGTATAAGAGGGTTCCTTTTTCCCCACATCCTCGCCAACACCTGTTGTTAGTGGTGTTGCTAATGATGGCTATTCTAACAGGAGTGAGGTAGAATCTTAGTGTGGTTTTAATTTGCATTTCCTTTATTGCTAGAGATGGTGAGCATTTTTCATGTGCTTTTTGGCCATTTGAATTTCTTCTTTTGAGAAAGTTCTGTTTATTAACTTCTCTTTATCAGTACTTCTCATCTAATAAATCAGAACTTACAACTTAAATACACTCATTTGATTATTACCATTCCCTACCTCTGTAAGAATCAACGACAGGCCCCTCCTTCACAATTTGGACCTAGCTTCATCAGATACCTTTTCTTCACTTTCATTTGCTTGCCCAACAGTACCCAATTATTCTGTTCCTTAAACCCATGGTACATTGTCTCTTGTCTGTCTTTATGTAGTCCATTCAGTAAGGATTGCCCTCTCTCACTAACATGTTCCTTCCCTATGTCTAAGCCGAATTAACCATTTCCCCATCTGCCACTATAGCACTTCTCACGTGCTATCTTTATCTTGAGGTCAGGGGCTATATAAAGTAATATGCCTGAAGTGAACAAGATTTAGGTTTAAATATGAGCTAACATGGTAGCTTGACTTAATGATAAGGTCTCTATAGAGCCCCTGATTCCAACTTGGTCACCAGCCCTCAGTCACCTAAGTTTCTTAGCATTTGGTTTTAATGTTAGTGTGGTATATTGAGTAAGACCATGGGCTCTGGAGTCAGAAAACCAAGATTTGAATTCAGAGTCCACCACTTACTAGCTTTTGTAGCAATTCACTCTCATTGGTAAATACGGGAAATCCTTCAGCCTCTCAGGTATGTGCAAAGTGAAAGAGATACATAAAAGCACTTAGCATAGTGTCCATGACAGAGTAAGAACTCAATAAATCATGTCATTTTATCTCATCTGCAACACATGAAAACAGAATTCAGCAAGTTGTACAGGAATAGAAAGCTGGGGGCTGACACTACATTAAAAGGATAAAAAATGGCAAGAGGATAGGGTACTTGAATATCAATCTGAGAAATACAAATATTGCTAGGAATGGAATTGGGATAACCTAGAATTTTAATGAGAGTAACCTAAGGAAAATAGCATTTAAAGAAGCTAATTCTAAGTGCGTATCAGTAGAGGATGCGTAGGATGGAGAAGTAAGTGAAGGGGAAATTCATAATCCATATGCCCATATAAAGAGCCTAAGTTGAAGCATGGAAACAGGATGAGTTAAAACTGAAGAAAGGAAAACTAGGTGCAGTTGTAGAGCATAAAGATCTCTGTCACTGTAAGTCTGGAAACTGGTAGTGCACACCTGTAATCCTAGCACCTGGGAGGCTGAGGCAGGAAGATTTCAAGTTCCAGGCCAACTTGGAGCTACATAGCAAGACATCCTATCTCAATAATTAATAATAATAATAAAAAGACTAGAAACTTGGAATTTTACTGTTTTTTAAAATAAATTCAATGAGGGATACTGTTTTTTTTTTTTAAACCCGTTTTAACTGTTTTAGTTATAGGCTAGTACTATGTTTAAGGTCACATAACTAATAAATAAAACAAACTTTGAACTCAGACGGTCAAATTCCAGAGCCTGTGCTAACCACTTGTTACCCTCAGAAGAAATGGAAAAAGTGCTGGGTGTGGTGGCACAGGCCTGTGAGCCCAGCAAGAGAATTAAGAGACAGAGGCAACCTTATCTCAAAAAAAAAAGTTAATGGAAAAGTTTCCATACAGTGTCACAGGAGAAATCAGAAAAGGCTTTATGTCAACAGCTTCTACTTGTAGTGCATCATGGACTTAATTTCTAGGGTCCTACTCACCTTTCTTAGTGGCAGAAACTTCAGAAAAGTTTGTCATCTAGATTCAAGGATGGCCTTTCAAGACCTGATTCTCACTTAAACATGATTCCCATTCATCTTTCTAGTTCTCTGGGAAGGGGGACTGAGTTGTCTTTTATCAAATTCACAGACCAACCCTTGACCAAAAAGAGCTCCACTCAAGAGAAAATAGCAGCTGTCATTTATTAAGCTCTTACATTTGCCAAGCACTGTTCTAAGAGCTTACAGGCATTACCACTTTGCATTTCAATTTTATGAGGTAGGAATCATTAATCTCCATTTACGGACAAGAAAACTGAGGCACAGAAATGGGCTAACAGTCCATTTACTGCCTTTTACCTGGCAGTAAAAGGTAGTGTAAATCCAGACAATTTGGTGTCTTATCACATACTTCTAACCAATAATAGTTTGCGTACAGCATTTTCATACCCCTCAAACTATTTCCTTTAACCAGAATAGCGTTTGAAACAAAATTAAGGGCTTTTAGGAAGAGCATTTAGATATAAAAGCAACCTCCACTGTCTTATACCTTCCTGTACATTCATCTTCACCTACTAAACTACTCATTCTGACATTGAGCATTTCTATGACAGAGGACCTAATTGAATCTGACTTTATTTACATATCCACCCTCTGAAAATTCCCATTACCTGTATCTTCTCAAATAAGGGGGTTGTAGTTCTTACTCCAAAATGTCCATTTAATCACTAGTATGTGTAAGCTCAAGTGAATAAGACTAGTAATGATTAAAATGAATCCATGATATAGCATAAAGTTCCTGTAAGTATTACTATCCTGTAAGTATTTCTCTCATCCAAGTACTAACCAGACCCAACCCTGCTTAGCTGCCGACATCAGACGAGACTGGATGTGTTCAGGGTGGTATGGCCGTAGACTCCTATAACTATTTCTAATGAAAATTGGAAAAGAGCTAAGAGCAGCTTTCTACTGGAGTGCTTCTTGCTTTATTCAGTTTGTTAAACAAGAACTGATGAAATTATTGCTCCCAAAATAACAGTCATAGAAACATGTTACCTATTTGAAAGAACAAATTACAAAATTCTAACAATCAAGCAATGGTTATTAGTCAAACCATCCACATCATTAGCTCCGAAGTATGCACATGCTTGTTATTTTTTTGTTGTTGCTGTTTTTATCTTTTTTGGGTACTAGGGTTTTGAACTCAGGGCCTCATGCTTACCAGGCAGGCACTCTACCACTTGAGCCACTCAGCCAGACCTTTTGTGTGTTGCGTATTTTTGAGATAAGTCTCTCAAACTATTTGCCTGGGCTGCAACCCTCCTGATTTCTGCCTCCCAAGTAACTAGGATTACAGGTGTGAGCCAGCGGCACCTAGCTAGATGCTAGCTTTTAAAGGTGACAAATGACGATTAGGTTCTCATAACACTGTTTGGGGTCTACGTAGACTTGATTCTGGATATAGTTCAATAGACAACGCAAAGAGTAATAGTGCAACCATCAATAATTAAACAAAAGGCACAATTTTCCAAACCACTTTTAGTTAGAATAAATTCTTTTTAAATGTCTAAAGCTACATATTAACTCAAAGCAATCTATTTTTCTACCTGAGATCAAAAATAAGTTTTCTTTTCCCTATCTAAACATAATTCTTAGCATTGAGGTAAATCTGAATTCACATGATATATTTTGTCAAACTTATACAAAAATTTTTAAGCCCTGCTTTAATTCTCATGTTACATGTAAATATTTACTATTTTTTCAAAGACTAATGACAAATTTATGAGGTTAATAAACCTCTAATGAAATCATGATACCATTGATAATATGAAAATAAAAAGCTACTCATTTATACAAAGTATTCTTGCATGTGAAATATGAAATGGGATCACAGAATCCATGTACATACACGAATCTCTAATAGTTCAGAAACCAAGCTCATGTTAACTCATTCTATTCTCCTTGGAGCTGAGGTTACAAAATAATGACAAGTGACAAAAATATTGCATATAAAAGCTCCAAAGCCAAGTATTACTCTTACTTGGCAAAAACTGCAATTTAAATTGAAAACAAAATCCAAGTAGATCTTTGCTGTGGCTATGCAACTTTTTGTTTTGTGGCCTGTAAGTTTTTACTGAGGTAAGTGACCTCATCTGTTACCCCTCCCCTCTTGCCGTTCACTCACTACAAAACCAAAACCAAACAAAAAATCCACATGTACGGCCACCTTCTTCATGGCTGTCTTTGGCCATGCTTCCAACTCTTGAAAGCAAAAGAACCTGGTGAAGTAAGTGAGAGGGTGAAAAACACTACATGTGATATATGAAACAAGTCTAAGAGTATGAACTGAGAAAGAAAATACTCTAAGAAAGGATGACCAGCAGTCTACCCACAAAAGAAACAGAAAATTAAAAAAAATAAAAAAGGGTGGCTGCTACTCCTCAGCTCTTCTTCCACACTGCCTCTGATTAGAAGAATGTGGGGACAAAGTTTCAAGCCCTGAAAAGGTAGGAGGAGGAGCTAGAGAAGTGAATAAATGGCAAAGAAGCACAGCAGCATCTTTAGCTGTCAATGAGTTTCTTTGCTCTGGTATTGGCGATGTCAATACGATCTTTGTTGGTGTCGGCCTGAAAAAAAAAAAAAAGATATCAGCATTACATCACAAGATAAACTACTTTAATAAAAGTCAAATTTAGGCTGGGAACAGCTCAGTGGTAGGGCACATCCTTTACAAGGCCCTGGGTTCAATCTCCAGGGCTAGAAAAAGCTGAGTTTTATATACATGAGAGTATTCAACATGCTGAGAAAATTCTTATATACTTGAAGTTACATTACAAAACTCATTTCGCATAAGAAATGACAGAATGTGAAATTCATTTGGTAAAACCATGGTATATAAACATGACAAAGGGGTGACAGGAAGAACTTACCAGTATTTTATCAATTCAATAGCACATCTTTTCCCCCATAGTTTAACATGTCTAAAACTGGGATACATCATATCAGTGGGCATTTTTCTTTTTTTCTCTCCCTCTTTTTATTTTATTTTTTGATAGGGTGGCTTTTTGAACTCCTCCCACCTCAGCTTCCAGAATAGCTGCAATTACAGGCATAAGCCACTGTGCCCAGCCCTTTGCTGGCATTTCTGATTCAATGAAATATGGTAAGAATACTCTTGAGTCACAGAATCTCATCTATAACCACTCTAGGTCTGACCCAGAGAGATTAAAATAACTTTCTCAAAGATCTTTGGAACAGATGTATTACCTCCCACATCAAAATCTAAATTAAAATGATGGGTAATATGTAGCCTAGACCCAGATTACAGCATGGAAAGCATCTTAGAAACCAATATCCATTTTAAGTAATTCCACAGACAGCCAAGCTTAAACTCACCCCATTCTCTAAAGAACACTGAGATTTTAATGAAGTATGGCTTTTACATTACTCATCTAAACACTTAAAACATTTCTCTTTCAGTATCTTTTGTATCAATGTAAAGTACCCCCTCCAAAAAAAAAGTCACTATTATCCTTTGACTACATATGACTCTATTTGTGTATCTACCCTGGACTATTCTGCAGAACTGATTTTTGCTACTTGACTCTTTCATGAGATGAGGATACAGGAACTTACTACCTACCATACTACTAGTTAACACAACTAAACTAAACAGCTAACACCTGTTCAGAATCTACTCAAAGGTTAGAGTAGATGCTAAGCTTTATGTGTGAAGGCTTAGGTAAAACAATTTCATTCAGAGCTGTGGTTTCGTAATGAGCCAACTGCATGAACAAGACAGGAAGAGCTGGTGTTCACTTTTCCATTGGAACTGTTAGGTCATCAACTGTAAGTCCTGTAAGGATAGGATCTTGTCCATTACTAACCCATTACTGATTAGCTGTCTCGCTGTCTTGTGGCCATAAAAGGCTTTACCTTTTCTGTGATCCGGTCTATTTGTCGATTTTGAGCTTCAATTTCATTGCCCATGTCCAAGGCCATGTTCTTTAGATTTCCCAGGATACTGCCCACTTGAGTCAGGTTCTCTTCCATCTCATCTTCTCTGGCATCATTAGTTATACTATCACACACACAAAAGTTAATTCAGCACTTTTCATTGCGCTATAACGGATTTAATGTTTATAAAAATAATCAGGTCGGACACTGGTGGCTCACGCCTGTGAATGCTAGCTACTTGGGAGGCTGAGATCAGGAGGATCATGTTTCTTGGCCAGCCCAGGTAAATAGTTTGTGATACACCTCCCTCTCCAAAATAACAGGAGCAAAATGGACAGGAGACGTAGTTCAAATGGTACAGCACCTGCTTTGCAAGTGCAAAGTCTCAAGTTCAAACCCCAGTTTTCCCCCACCCCACAAAATAAACAAAAAGCAAGAAATCAAAATGACACTCAGCAAGTGAATGTAGGCTACTATTCTTGAGAAACATCCTACAGTTAAAAAAAAAAAAACGCAAAGACTGATCAAGGGGAACAGTGTCTTCAAACCATGTTAAGAGAAGATTAAGACACAACTCTAGAACAATGTTTCTTTCTTAAAGTGTCACTCCCAACAGCACTAAGTAAGTACCCGTGAGACATGAGAACATGGTAATTCTCACACTCCATTACAGATCTTCAATCAGAAACCGTGAGTAAACCTAGGAATCTGTGTTTTCCTTTCTTTTTTCTTTCTTTTTTTTTCCTCTGAGACAGGGACAGGGTCTTGCAAGGTAGCCTACACTGGCCTTGAACTCAATTCACCTGCCTCACCTCCCAAGTGCTGGGATTATAGGTGCGTACCATCACGCACATCTTGTTTTGTTTCCCAGAGGGGTCTTGCAGTTGCCCAGAAAGGCCTCAAGCTCTTGGGCTCAAGAGATCCTTCTGCTCAGCCTCCATGCCAGGAGTGTTTTAACAAGCCCTCAGGTGATTGTAATGCACACATAAGTATGAAGAACCACTGCTTTAAAGCAGGATGGGAAATTACAGTGACCTGCCTTCTGATTTTAAAGTTTATTCAAACAAACTGCTAATAAAGCTTTATCCAAATACAGCCAAGGGGGCTAAGGGTATGACTCAATGGTAGAGCATCTGCCTAGCATGCAGGAGGCCCTGGTTCAATCCTCAGCACAGCAATAAATAAATGAATAAATAAATATACTCAATGTAGGCACATCAAGCTCATTTGTTTATATATTGTTTTTGGCTGCTACCGCCCAATAACATAGTTGAATAATTGTAACTATACAGCCTGAAATATTTACTAACTGGCCCTGGAGCATATGTGCAAATATCCTACAAAAATTCAGCCAACCCCTGTTTTTTTTTTTTCTTTCTCCCTAAATATGGAATGCTTCACAAATTCATGTGTCATCTTTGTGCAGGGACCGTGCTAATCTTCTCTGTATTGTTCCAATTTTAGTATATGTGCTGCTGAAGCAAGCACCCAATCCCTTCTTTGGTGATATATTTTGTTAACACTTTTTTCTATTTACAAAAGTAAACACGTACAGTACTGAAAAATCTAATGAAAAGTTAATCCCATCATGCATCAACTACAGTAACAGTCAACATTTTGTCAGAAGGCAGATTTTAAAATGCATTTTAAAAAAGGAATAAATAGCACGGCACAGAGGCACATGCCTGTAATCCCAGGACTGGGGAGGCTGAGGCAGGATGACTGCGAGTCTGAGGATTTCTTGGGCAAGATCCTGTCTCAAGAGAGAAAAAGTATTATTTTGCAGGTGCCAGTGGCTCACTGCCTGTAATCCTAGTTACTCAGAAGGCAGAGATCAGGTGGATCGAGGTTCGAAGCCAGCCCAGGCAAACAGTTTGCAAGACCCTATCTCAAAACACTTTTTACAAAAATAGGGCTGGTGGAGTGGCTCAAGTGATGACCCTGAGTTCAAGCCCCAGTACTGCAAAAAAAAAAAGTGTTTCTATTTGTTGAATTAGGTTTTATGTATAGCTATAGCCAATCCCCTAAGACCGTTCATTAGGAAAGGTATAGAAATAGCAGGGGGAGCTGTCATACCGTTTAATGTATCCACCGCTGGCTGCTCCGGTGGCTGTTTGCTGAGGCTGACCATTTGTTACCCGGCTTGGTTGCTTAGATACTACATTGCTAGGTGAGTTGTCGCCACCATCTCCCCATGTGGCCTTATAGGCCTTACCAGACTCAAAGTTCTTCGTCCTATATGAGAATGAGGAGTATAGACACATATGTAAAAGCAGAAGAGGGGGATGAAATTATTAGTGCTTATTACCTTAAGGAGGACCCTAAAAAGCTTTAGCAGAAAAGCTGCATGTAGCTAAAACTAGATTATCTATACTAGAGATGGCAATATGAGATAGAAACAGACGAATTATGTAAACCCACTAACATAAAATTGTTTTTAAAAGGTCCAAATACTATCTCTACTAAATTTTCACTAAGCTGTTAGCAAGCTCCAAAACACAATTATTTGATTTTTTCAGCCTCCCTCACCCTGTAGCACTTCCCAGAAACGAGATTAACTGACACTACAAAGAAAAAAATCTTTTAGGAAAGGTGCTGTGGAATGCCTTCAGAGGCTCCTCTTGGAGGCATCTCAGAGGTTGATAAGGTATGACAGAATAAGACAACTGATAAACCAGGCACTGGTGGCTCATGCCTGTAATCCTAGCCATCACGAGACAGAGATCAGGAGGATCATAGTTCAAAGCTAGCCTGGGGAAATAGTTCAAGAAACCCTATCTCAAAAATACCCTACACAAAAAAGGGCTAGTGGAGTGACTCAAGTGATAGAGTGCCTGGCTAGCGAGTGTGAGACCCTAAATTCAAGCCTCAGTACTGCCAAAAAAGAATAGTTTGACCCCTCTCTTTGCCAGCTCTTACTAGAACCAGAACCAGAATAGTTCCAGCTGATCCAAGTTACACTGTTTATTTTATTTTTTAGATGGGGACTCAGCCATCTTAAAAATCAGCCCAGGCTGGTCTCAAAATCTCTACTCCTGCCTCAGTGCTGAGATTACAATTACCACCATGCCTGGCTCAGCTAATCAGTTTTTATAAGATGGACTTCTGCATGAAATGTTGGTTTTTCGGGGGAAAGAGGCAGTACTGGGGGTTGAACTGGGGTCCTTGCTCTTGCTCTACCACTTGAGCCTCCAGTCCTTTTTGCTCTGTTATTCTGGAGATAGGGGCCAGCCTGGACAGTGATCCTCCTATTTATACTTCTTGCTATCACTGGGATGACAGACATGTGCCATCATGCCCAGCTTTTTTCTGTTGAGATGGGGGTCTCGAAAGCTTTTTTTTTTGCCCAGACTGCCTTGGAACCTTAACCCTGCTAATCTCAGCCTCCCTTGTAGTTTGGGCTGACAGTCACATGTCACCCCACTCAGCAATTGGTTGAGATTGGGGGGGAGGTCTCTCTTTTTGCCTGAGCTGACCTCAACCTAAAATCCTTTGATTTCAGCCTCCAAAGTAAGTAGGATTACAGGCGTGAGCCACTAGCACCCAATTTACATGAAATTTTTAAAAAGAATTTCTTTAAAAACAAAGTGTCATGAAACAAAAGGAATGGATTATTTCCAAGTTGCACAATCAACTGATAAGTAACTACCTTTGCCAAACTAGTTGCCAGTTATAAAATCTGGTTTTAAAAAAAAATAGGGTTTTTTTCATTTAGGAGTTTATTTTTTTCCTCCATTACAAAATAAATGGTCCTAAGTCAAGGCCTCGTATATGTAACTGCTAAAGCCAAAACTCAATCAACACCAGAATTTTACCATGGAATGCAATTGGCAAGACTAGGAAAGCATCCTTTGTTTTTTTGTTTTGTTTTCTGATTTTTTTGAGACAGGTTCTCATTATAAGAGTTCGATGACCTTGAACTCTTGATCTGTGCTTCCATGTCCTGAGGGCTGGGATTACTGGCATGGACCATCTCACCTGGTGGAAAACTCATTTTCCAAAAAGTAAGTTTTACTGATTATTTGGCTGGATCTAGTCAAGCTTTCACTAAATTTTAGTTTTTAATTTTCTATTAACAAAAATAAAGGAGTATGTTGCTATCATCTTGGTCTCTGATTTATTACATTAATTAATAACTCATAATTACAAAAATTACAAGAGCAGAGAAGAAATTCTATGGAAAAAAAAGTGGCTCCTTCCTAAACAGGTATATGAGGATTCACTTTTGGCAAACCTAGAACTGGATTGTGGACCAATTCTAGAAAGAGTACTACTTAGAAGGGCTTAGTAGTACATATCTATAATTCTAGCACTTGGAAGGTTGGAAGGTGGAGGCAGGTCAACTGAGTTCAAGGTCAGATTGGGCTATAGAGCAAGATTATCTCCAAAAAAAAGAGAAAAGAAAAGAAAAAATAAGAGAAAGGGTATTACTTCATTTTTGTGCAAGGCACTGCAAAGGTAAAGTTTATAGATACTGAAAAGCTAATTCTCAAAGAGCTTTTATTGGTTCCACATTAAGTTCTCACATTACATTTCCTATTTATTCTGTTTTGTTTTATTTTATTAATAAGCCAAGTTAAATCTTTCCTGGAACAAGGTGGGATATGTCATTTTTTGTTTTTTGGTTTTCTTTTCCCAGTACTTGGGTTTGAACTCAGGGCCTACACCTTGAGCCACTCCACCAGGCCTTTTTTGTGACGGGCTTTTTCAAGATAGGGTCTCATAAACTATTTGCCGGAGTTGGTTTTGAACGGTGATCCTTCTGATCTCTGCCTCCTGAGTAGCTATGATTACAGGTGGGATATGTAGATGAAAGTAGGTTGTATGCGAAGTAGGTTTCTTTTTTTATGGTGGGACTGGGGTTTGAACTCAGGACTTCCCACTTGCAAAGCAGGGGCTCTCCCACTTGAGCCACACCTCCAGTCCATTTATTTCAGATTATTTTGGAGTTGGGGTCTTGTGAACTATTTGCCTGGGCTGACCTAAAATCATGATCCTCCCTAGTCTCAGCATTCCAAGCAGCTAGGATCATAGGCATTAAGCCATCAGCACCCAGCAGATATGTAGTTTTTAATGAATATTTTCATATAATAATCTGTTAGTTCAGTGAACCAATTTACATGTACTCTTTGTAAACACTAAGGTAGGTCCTAGGCAAAATTCTAAAGCAGAAAAATATATTAGTTTATTAGTCTGTCAGAAAACTAATAATCATAGGGCTTTTTTTTGTTGTGGTGGTAGTTATTTTGTTTGTGGTGCTAGGATTTTACTGGGGCCTCCTGTGTGCTGTGGTAAGTACTACATCATTGAGCTACACCCCCAGCTCAATATCCACAAGTGTGAATTGAGGTAACATAAGTGGAACCTTTTTTTCCCCAGTGGGAAATTAACCTGAGTTCCAAAGGCATTTTATGACTGAATCACAGGCTTAAAGCACACCTAAGTGAATCTTTTATTAGGATGTCAGGCTGTGGAACAGGTGGAAGAGAAAGGGCTGGAATTCAAGTGACTAATAAAATATGGGCATGGTGGGACATACCTGTAATCCCAGCACTTGGGAGGCTGAGGTAGGAGGATCGCAAGTTCAAAGCCAGCCTGGGCTATTTTGTAAGACCCTGTCTCAAAAGCAAAAAACAAAAGACAAAAAGAAGAAATGAGGCGATCAATGACATATTATGTTTTTGAAAGTCTTAGCACAGAAAGAGGGGTAAACTGGACAGGATTTGTAGGCTCCTATCCTACTAAGTTTCAATCCCAACCTGACCTTTAGTTAACAATTCATGCCTGACTACCCAATAGCATGCTTGGTTTTCTGGCTCACTAATACAGCCCAGCTTTGCAATCTATAGTTAACAGAGTATATCCGAATATGGCTACATAAATGGCATCGAGGCCTAGGTTGTTCTAGTCTACATAAGAAAGAATGTTCTTACTGCAACAGAATTCTTTTATAAAATAGTATTTGTAGCCACTTTCAGGAAGAAACTAGTCTTAATAAAATGTTTAATCAAATTTGTGATAAATTTTAATGAGATTAAGAACTCTATCTGAAAATGCAGATTTATACCTCATTGTCAGTTTTGAGGAATCTTAACATCTTTCAATACCACTTTTTTTCATTTAAATGTCTCTTTCAAGAATGGAAAGTTTGGAGGTAGGCACTGGTGGCTCACACCTGTAATCTTAGCTACTCAGGAGGCAGAAATCAGAAGGCTTGTAATTCGAAGCCAGCCCAGGCAAATAGTTCATGAGACCCTATCTCAAAACTACCCAACACACTAAGAATGGGGGGAGAAGAGATAAGAAGAAAGATGGAAGGGGTGAATCTAACTAAGATACATATTTTAAGCACTTTTGTAAATGTGACAATGTACCCCTGGTATAGCTATAATATGCTAATAAATTTTTTAAAAAGAAAGAAAATACCCAACATAAACTTCCACAATTTCTTGTCCTAGTTCTGGTTGTCATCAACATTAATACTAGTTAAATAAAAATAACAAAAAGAAAGTCAAATGTTATCATTTATTCTCTCACATTAAGGAGAAAAGGACTGAATAAATAAATAATTGTAATATGAATGAGTGTATGTGTGTGCACATGCATGTGTGTGTGTGTGTGAGAGAGAGAGAGAGAGAGAGAAAAAGAGAGAGAGAGAGAGAGAGAGATGATCAAGCTGTAGGAAGGAAGAAAAAGGCAGGAAACAAAAGGCTAGGGTGTGACCAAGTGGTAGAGCACCTGCTTAGCACTCATAGGCTCTAAGTTCTAACCCCAGCGCCATCAAAAATAAACAAAGCATAGAAATCAGATGATTAACATTTAGTTATACTCTTTATAATTCGTATAAAGAGCCAAAATTAAGGGATTGGCTGTTATAACATAGAGTAAAGGATTAACACCCATGAAAAATTAAGGTTAACTCTGTATTAATTCCACATGAAATTATAGCAAAGTAACATATGACATAATTGGATTTATAGAACAAATTATAACACATAAAAAAGGGAACCTCTTATTTAAAAAAAAAAAAGAGAAGATACTACATCTGGAACATTTAAAATTTATATCCACCTTATTCTAAATAGGATTTAAGATAACTAGATTGTAATTAATTCCTTGATTTGGTAATGGCCTAAATTATGTGGAATCCAAGTCATTAAAAGCAATACTTTAATAGAGGAAACTTTCATTCAGGAACCAAAGAGGAGCAAGGAAATCTAAAGAAGACAGGGTGCGGAAATCAAAGTCCTATGAAGAGAGAACTATTTAGTCTGAGTTCCCTTACCTTTGATAACTAGACTGCAGCTGATGTCTACAAAGAGTAACCTATGTAAAACTTAGGAAACTTCAGGACCATTGTTATTTTGGTAATATTAATGTTACTTAGCAAAAACTTAGTTGTCAGGGCCATTAGTCTAAGGGTTATATATACGATCCTTTTGTAGAGTCTCTGTCAGCACCCATCAAGAGCAAATTCACTTTACATTACACACCACAGCACAGTTTTTAAGACAATCTTCACCATTCACAAAATCCATGCACATGCACCAAAAAGCCATTTGAAGCATCACCTTTAGATAGCAGGTTAGCAGCCCAAACTGCGCCATAAGACTGCATCTTAAAGTTCCCTTTGATCAGTTACTGAGCTCGGCTTCTGATGATAAATCCTCATTTTTAGTAAGCAGATTAGAAAGAAAGAGATTTAAGTGAGAGAAAGAAATGCAGAAAAACAGTAAATGCCAGTCAAAAAGAACAAAAGCAGGTTTAGTTTTTAAAACATAATGCATTCAAATTCCTGCCTGGTTTCATAGAAACAACCAACATCTGAGAATCTAGATAAGGAAAAAAAAAAGGGAGGGGGAACAAGAAAATTATTTAAACCATAGCACACTTCATGTCTCCTCAGCATGTTGGGGTGATGATACTCTTTCCTAAATTTATAAAAATTACTACTGAGGGAAGGCAAACACTGATGGCAACATTGTGAACTTCCTTGTTCTTAGTGATTAGAGTTCTCTAAAAGACTTCTATTATCTATTTTATTTGAGTTATAATCTCTAAAAATAAAAATTATTTTACATATCTAACTCTCCCATCAGCTAACAAATTTCTCAAGGATCTTCAATCCACAAATATTTACTGAGTATCTACTATGAACCAGATATCATCTAGGCATAAAAAATGATAGAACAGGCAGGGCATCAGGTATGCTTTATTCATCTTCGTATCTCCAGTGAATAGGACGGAGGAAGCACTCACTTGTTGAATGAAATATAATTAATATTTATTTTAATCGCTCAGCACTGGATCTTTACACCTTAATAGGGCCTAAGATTAGAATAGTTAGAAAACCTGTAGTAGCAATTTTGAACTTCTCTAGTGTTTTACAGAAATGCTAATTTGTCTTCAAAATGGGTACCATTATATTAGACTTTATAAGACAAGTTAAAAGAATATCATGCCTAGGAATGGTTAAACTGGGACCAAAAGCAGTTTACTACTCTGAGACTTCCCAGGACTGCCTCTTTTTAAACTCTTGTTAATTAAAATTATAACTTGTCAGTTACTGTCAAAATTATAGGATTAGAAAGAAAAAGAATAAAAGTCAGAACAAAAATTAGGACTTTAAAAAAGGATCTGTGCTATCTTGCTTTTAGAATTCAAAATGTAACAAGCTAACAGAATGGCATTTCCCCACAACCTTGAATTTTCATCCTTTAGTCTGTTAATAAATTCTAGTAGTCCTTTAGAAAGAATTAATAGCAGTTAAAATTTCCTTTCAACACTGAGTTCTTTTAAGTAAGACTATTTCCATGTCTTATTTAGAAAGATCTACTGACCTGTTTCAATAATCCTATTGAACAAAAGAAATATCAAAGAACAGATCTACTCAAAACAATTTCTACATATTTACACATTTAACAAACAGCAATAATAAAAGGGTTCATTCTTTTCTTGTCAAAGTCAAGCAATGTAGCACAGAGTTAAAAGCAGGGTTCTGCCTGGTTTTGAATCCTAGCTCTTCTATTTGCTAGTATGGCCCCTTTAAAATGCTTCTGTTACTCCAGCTGTAAAATGGTGATAACAAAAGCATCTAACTCATATTAAAGCTATTACTTAAAGATTAAGTGTAAAGTGCTTAGAATAATAGCTTAAATTAATATACAGGCCTACACAACTCTCATTCAAAACCCTTGGATATAAGATGTTTTCAGTAGTACCACATAATCAAATACATCAATATTTCTGTCATGAAACAAATTAGTATTTACACAGGGGCTGGAAGATATAGAACACTTGCCTAGCACATGTGAGGCCCTGGGTCTGATCTCCAGTACTGACGTTATGGCTGCTTATTTGCTGAATCTAACAAACACAGATTAGCAGGTAAGATTAGAAAGACACTGACAGGAATGATAGGAGACATAGCAGAGGACAAGAGATACATCATAGCAGCCAAAGTCTCAGTGGTATACTGAAATAGATGGAAAAAAGACTACCAAATTCAGACATCTTTAAGCTGGGCTATTACTCTGGCCTCTTTGGTGAAAACAGCTATACTATTATAGCAACCCCATGACTCCACTCTCTAAGTCCACTGAGAAAGGGCTCTGCTGAGGTCAGAGGCTGATCATACGCTACCTATTCATCTACCTACCTGTGTCAAAGGACAGCTAGCCTTTGTGTGGCTGGGATCCGTAAGATAAATGAAACTAATACATCTGTAACTCTATTTCCCAATTTCTGTGATCCTTGAACATCTTAGGATTTAGTATTCCTCCTTATGTCAACCTGTGACTTATACCTGACCTTGCTCTAGATTCTAGAGAGGACTTCTTCCTCTTTGCTCTTCTTCTAACATCTTATCTCAAGGAAATTCACCTAATTTTTCTCCCCTCACCCTTATAAGACAGTACACAGAACACAGGAGAAAGGAACAAGTTTGCAAAACATAGCTAGGAATTTGAATCATATAACCTCTACATTTATAACTTATTTGCTTAAGGTAATCTATTAAACACTGACTGACAGACAAGTCATAGTTATTAAAATATGGATTTTCAGAGAGTCAACCAAGGTCTACACAGGTCAACAGACTCATGTTAGAACAGGAAGCCATGGACAAGGCTAGGAAGAAAGCTGTTAAATCTTAACTTCTCATGACTACAGCAAAACCTAAAGACAACCAACAAGCAACTTAACTCTATTTTCCCTAGTAGAAATGGCACAGAAAAATGCTGTCACATGAGAACACTTATCTGAAAGTATGAAAGATAACAAAAGCTCATCCATTCCTAAATCTTTTGGGGATTAAAAATGCTCAAATTTGTAAACCTTTGTATGCCACTGTTGGTTTACTGGACCACCTGACACAACCGTATGGAAGTACTAATGTTTATGAAGCTCTCCAAAAACAAATACTTATAGCAGGAAGTGTAGTCACTCCAGAATAAAGGTCTGTCACTCCAACTCAGAGTAAAGGTCAAAGTTGTTTTGTTAAGTACTTTTTTAAAACAAAGATGAGCTCCTTCTAACAGAAGGAGAAGATAATGGTTAACTGCCTCAGTCCAAACCTCACCTTACATATATTGTATATTCTACATTATATATTGTATATACTCACCTCTGAATATATACGTATGTGTCAACATGGAGTTTGGTTTATGCAAGGGTAAGTAGAGAAAATAAATATTCACAATGGAATAAGCAAAAAGAATTAATTCCTTTGTGTCAAGCATAATCTCATACTCTACACATAAATGGTTTGAAGACCTCTCATGTCCTAGTTTACGAGACTCCAAATCTTGAGTCTTCTTTGACTTCCCTCTTCCTATCCTATTTCATATGCAATCAAATGATTTAAAATAAACTCTCTTTGATTTTCACTTTCCTTTCTAGTCTCACTGGCAAAGTCTAATCTCACAGACTAGACTATAAAAGGTTTTCAATTAGTCTCCTGGGATGGAGTCCTATACTTTCCTCCAATCTCTCAACTCCTTAATGTGCCATCCAAGTTCCTGTACTACCTTCTTAAATCTTATTTGTCACTTCTCATATATGAATCATACAGCTCAGTTAAGTTAAGCTCTTCCTTACTATCTGTTTACTTTGAACCTTCCACTGGAAATGCCCTCCCCTCTTTCCATGTTTTTTGGTTTGTTTGTTTGGGGGGAGGGGTTGGTGCTGAGATTGAACCCAGGGTCTCCCACCAAGCTACATTCTTAGACACCCCCTCCCCCCGATGTTTATCCAAATCCTTCTAAACGATGTTCTATAACTTAACCTTTTATCAGTTCTGTACCCCTAGCCCTAGATGGTATCACAAGCTCTAACACCAGATCTATGAATTTTCTGCTATTCTCTCATATATCCAACCACGTGGTAAGTTTTTTGAAGACATGGTCCAGGTCCTTTATAACGCTGGCCATCTCTTATGTGCCTATTGCAATATATGTATTTTGTGAATATTCCTTTTCAAAAGGAAAATACACTAACTCCATCCTGTTCTGTAACAACCAGATGTATATTTCCCAACTTTTTTGAGTACAAATTGAGATCTGACCCCAGGATTAGTCAAATTTAAGCCATGGTTTCCCATAATCATGCCTATTTATACAAAAAGGTTGGTCTGCCTGAAAGAGCAATATTTTAACTTCATTTATAATAAAGTTCCTCATTTAGACCCAGTCATTCTTCAGTCCTAATTTGTGGGAAGGGAGCATGTGAACTGCAGGGCTGCAATATTCTCATTAGTTATTTACTTTTAAAATGTCTTGATTTACCAACTCACCTATTACATGGGCAGACACAAAGGCCACAGCATTTGTTGAGTTCTGTTAAGGTCTTCTCTGCTTCTCTCATGTCTTTATTTATTTGGTCCATGCCTTCTTCTATGCGGTTTAATTGTTCTAAGAGTAAGTTGTGGGAGTTAAATTTGGTGATACATTCACAGTGTTGACCAGAAAAATGCTACTATTATAGGGCAGCAAACATCAACCTTAAACGATCAATCACTTGCCAGAGTGGATTTCAACAATCTGTCATAGGTGATCTTGAAGCACCTGGGCTCTTATTGTGGAAAGACTTATTCTAAAGGAATATGTACACAAAAAGCACATGAGGGTTGTTTGGAAGTCATACTTGCAACCAAGTTAAGTATACTTTGAGCAGATTCCCGGCATTTGTATCATTTCATAGGCTCAAAACCTGAGGTCTGTTCATAAGACTAATAAAAATGAGATCATATTACCAGGGCCAACTCAGACAGAATATTTATCACCAAAATTTAGACCTGTTTTAGGACTTAACTATATTTCTGAAGATGCTATAAGCTCATAATGTGAAATATAAATTCGACAAACGCATGTGAGTCACACTGGCCTAACAGTTAGGCACTGGTGCTTCTCATCCCAAACCAGCAACAAACATGATGTAATTAAGCATATCACTCATATCTTACAAAAGGATGGCATTCCAAACGCTGAAATTTATTAAGTAGATGATTTGACAGGGCTTTTTCACATTGTAAGTCAAAGTAAGAGTTTCCTCCAGGGACTTCGACTCACCCCCTTGTTCATCCAGCATAGTTATGGTCTTGATTCCTGTATCCTGAGACTAAAAGGAGGGGGGGAAAAGATGATAGTACAACATAACAAACCTAAAATAACGGAAACAAAGCCTGTAAGGACTGACAAATAGCAAGAGTCATTTAGAAATCTAAGTTCTCAGAAGATTAGTGCTACAGACAGAACTAGCAGTCTTAAGCCACCACATTTTGTTTGCTTTTTTTTTTTCTTTTCTTTTTTTGGTGGGACTGGGGTTTGAAATCAGGGTTTTATACTTGCAAAGCAAGCACACTTTAAAACAATACATTTTAACATATTAACTCCTCAAAATGATTAAAATATAAACTCATGGTGAATTTTACCTTCCCTGTCACTATTCTAATACAGACAAGGCCTATCAGTACATGGCTTGACAATTCTAGCAATTGGTGGCTTCACATAATAAACTGTATTGACATAATACCCATTTAACACCAATTTCATCTACTGCTACTAGGATCCCTCCCATAAATTTCTGTGCTTAATTTGATGATTAAACATTTCTTACCTCAATGGCTAAATTCAGGATTCTCCTCGTACTTTCCAGAGACTAGGAAAGAACAGAGAGTTTTAGCATTCCAAAATATGTAGGATAAATAAATAAATAAATAAATAGGTGACCATAAGCCATACTGAAGATACTAATCTATTTTTTAAAACTGCCAGCCCATTCCTCTTTGTATAACAAAGAAAGTTATTTTCTTCCTACCAGGTGCTCCTTAAGAGAAAACTTAGATGGTAAGGTTCATGGGGTTCATAAAAATTTAATGTAGGTAGGAAGTAAAGTATGTTTTACATAGGTATTAGGAAATTATTAAATAAAAAGTCAAAAATTCCTTCTAGAATTGCAAGTAATTATTAAGTAATGACTACCTAAAAAAAGATATAAATCATTTTTACTTATGAAGTTTTTTAGTGAGCTGTAAAAAATTTAAAAATGAATCAGTAATGATGATATGGGACAAATGAATTCTTTGATATATAAGGACCAGCAAGAAGTCAAAATGATCTCTAAGAAGGCCCTCTCACCCCTTCACCGTGAAAATTAAAATAGTTAATTATTTAGTCTAAAAATATTTACCTCATCAGTAACTTGATGAGCCCTGAGCTGAATTTCTTCTGATGACAGATTATCCATTATCAATCAAACTCTATCAGACACAGAGATGGTAATGTAGATATTCTAGAAGAATAAGGATACACAAAAGTTTGTTTAAGTTAGGCATGGTAGCTCATACTGGTAATTCTAGTACTTTGGAGGTGGAAGATCACAAGTTTGAAGCTAGTCTAGACTACAGAGCAAGAACTTACCTCAAAAAAATTTTTTTTCTTTGATCAAAGAGTGTTGATTTATAGAATTTACTTATCAAGCAACCAGGATAAAAGAGCTGATCTCTGGCTATATCACAGGTAAAGGAATTAAGGCTGAGAGGATAAATGGATGTTTGATGCTAGTTAACACAAAAGGTGAACCTAAAACCCAGGTGAAATAATCTTTTCAATGGTAAAGTTGTCCCTCTACTTTGAGAAGCAAGGTATCAGTACAAGGCAAGCTTTGGGAGACTACTAAAATGATTCTTAGGACTGGGTGCATGGCTCAAGTGGTAACTATGCAAGTGCTTGCTATGCAAGCACAAAGCCTTCAGTTCAAACCCCAGTACCACCACCAAGAAAAAAAAAGAATTCTTATTTGTGCAATGTTCTTTGTATGTTATCTGAAATGGTAAAACAGTAAGAAGCCCAAGTAAGGAAAGTAACATAACTCTAAATCGTGTACAAAGAACACAGGAATCAGTTCTAATATACCAGCTACTCAATGAAGAAAATGAAATACTATCACTCTTTTTTTAATTAAGATATATTCATTGTACAGGGGGGATTCCTTGTGACAATTCCATATAGGCTTATATTGTACATTGGTTAGATCACCAATACTATCATTCTTAACAAGAAAAGGATAATGCTAGTAAAAAGAGCACAGAAAAGAATCAAGGTTTGTATTATGGGTAGACTCTCCTCCAATTACTTGTATTACTTTTTGTTTTAGTGAAGTCTCTATGAAACTAAGCAACTAATCTCCTATACACAATAACTCATTAAGAAGACCTTGTAAACACTCAAGCTAAAAAATAAAACATTTAGCGCTTGCCTAGCATGCACAAGGCCCTGGGTTCGATCCCAGCACCAAAAAAGAAAAGACAAAAAACAAACAAACAAACAAAAAACAAAAAAGATTAAAAATAAAATAAAATAAATAAATAAATAAATAAAACATTTAGTTAGGTGTTACTCAGTACCACTATTGTGAGAAGTCATGTGGAATAATAAGCATTGCAGGACAGATGTTGGTTCTTTTCTTCATGACATTTGCTAGTTTTATAGTAAGTTTTTGAAAACTAATTTATCAAAGCTCTTTGTCAATGACACAGATAATGTCTGGTTCACATTGTAGATTTGCTCCCAGGCATCTGGCAATGTCTGGAAAATTTTTGACTGCCACTACTCAGGGGGTGGGGATGTTATCGGCACCTACTGGGTAGAGGCCAGAGAAGCTACAACTCCTTGTGAAAGCCCTTCAACAAAGAACACTTGGGAAAAAACATCGAAGTGCTGAGGTAAGAAACCCTGCTATGCGGTATATTCACTGATAAGCAGGGAACCTAATTCCTCTGTAGTACTACACCAAACTCTTGGAGGAGAGGGTTTTGTTTCCTCTTTGTATCTTTAACACCTAACAGGATCTGACAGTGTGTACTTTGAAAATATCTGATGAATGAACAAATAAGTAGAAAAACAGGATGTACTCTCAAAGTGGCTCTTAGGAACAAAGCTACATGCGACAGCAGCATAAAGCCTACAACCACCCACTAAAACCACAAACCAAAATCTGTCATTGTCCATGTATGGTATGAAATAGCCTCACAGTCACATACAAATCTTTTCAGTGGGGCTGGGGTGTAACTCAGTGGCCAAGTGCTTACCTAGGAGGTGTGAGGACCTAGACTTGATCCCCAGCACTACAAAAGAACAAAACCAAATCTTTTCAGTCACTCCCCCTGCCACCACAAAAAAAGAAATTTCCTCCCTCCTTCCTTCCTTCTTTCTTTCTTTTTTTGCACTCCGTCACCTCCAGATGCTTGCATACCTTTCCTCTTGGTAAATCCCTACCTGTCTGCCCCAGTAGCTTTAGGCTTCTCCATTACTTCCTATGACCCCAGTCAAACTCTGCCTTTCCCAGGGACCACGTGCTAAAGTCATCTATCCCTCTTATGTGTAATTCCCCAATGCCCAACAGAAAAAAAAAGATAAGAAAAATAATACACACTAATTAATTAATTCCTGGAAATGGCACCTCTTGTCAGGTTTTCAGACAGTATCCTGTCTCTGTGCAGGGAGACATTTTGGGATAGGGAAGCCCAGCTCGCTCAAATTATACAATGTTATACTCACAGGGTTTGTTACTATCCTCTACACACTTTGATATAAAGTTTATCATTTGGTATTTTGATTAGGCTCTCATGGTAACCAGTGCATCTGCAATAAGTGGGAACTTCTGTCTCTAACTTGGTAATACAGAGATTAACTGTGGAAGCTCCATTATTCAAATTCCAGCCCAACAATGTGTTGTATGACCTTAGGCAGGTTCCTAACCCCACTAAGACTCAATTTCTGTATTTATAACAGGGACAACAATCTACTGAATAGATTTTTGGTGAGGATTAAAAGACATCCATGTTACTGGAGGTGTCATTCAAGCAGTAGAACACCTGCTTTGTAAGCAGAAGGCCTGAGTTTAAATCCCAGTTCCCTTCCCCCCCCCCCAAAAAAAAGACATCCATGGAAAGTGGTATTACACTGCCTGGCTAGTGTTCAATAAATGTTACAAAAGCACAAATAGCTAAAACAAAAGTTAAGCAACAATGTTAAAAATGAGTGACACCTATGCGAGTACAGTTGAAAATGTTATTAAACACTAATTGTTCTGTCTGCAAGGCTAAATTTGAATATTAAAGTAGTAATTCTTCTGCCCTGGGCCCCCCAATGCAAGGATTATAGATTTACACCACCACATCTGGCTAATTTATGAATTTTAAACTGCACTGCTTTGAGTAATATGCTGTCCTGCTCCTTCCTGCCTGGGCTACATAGTAAGACCCTAATCTCAAGAACAAACAAATAAAAACAATTTACGAATTGTTTATCTCTGGAATGTCCTATTTAATATTTTTAGACCAAAGTTGACCATGAATAACAGGAACTGCAGAAAGTGAAACCACAGATAAGAGGGAACTGTTGTAGAAGACATTTTAGTGGTTGGTTGTAGGATTTGCTTTAAAACAATTCAGAGGTGGGAAAATGGGTGGGAGTGAGGCAGGCTGAATTAGGGACATTAAGGCACCTGACCAAAGAGAAATGACTGAAGAACAAGCACTGCATTAATAGGTAACTTGAAGTCTCTCACTCCCCATTAGGCTTAGCAACTGGCCATGCTCTTAACCTTGCACTAATGATTTGCCTGTCACGGTGAAGATCTCAAGAAAAACATCTAGTAAAACTCATCCTTGAACTAAAAGAAGACCTTGATGAAGAAAATAAGCTCCTAGCAATGAGCTTTTCTGCCCTAAACATCTTTTAAAGGAAAGCACCTGGCAGATCCTCAAACATGTGTCACCACTATGTCAGTTAGGAGATTTGATCTCTGGGAATCCCAAATTTGTCAGTTCTGAGAACATATAAGATACATTTAGAGGAAGGCTGTCACGGCAACAGGTGGACAAATGAAGAAGCATGCAGAGACAAGAACCCATGGACCCCTGGACTTTCTTTCTTTTTCTTTTTTCCAGTACTGGGGCTTGAACTCAGTGCCTCACGCTTGCCAGGAAAGCACTCTGCCACATGAGCCATTCCACCAGCCCTTTTTTGTATTGAGTATTTTCGAGGTAGCATCTTGCAAACTATTTGCCTGGGCTGGCTTCAACCCATGACCCTCCTGATCTCTGTCTCCTGAGTTGCTAGGATTATGGGCAGGAGCCAAAGTGCCCAGCTACTACACTTTCTTGAATCTTATGAATATTCCTTACACAAAGGACTTGGCATGGCTCTCATGTGCCCCCATCTCCAGCCTATTGAGATGCGCTTTGTTATTCTGCTTTTCTAACTAAAATCTCTATAAAGTTCTCACCTAACTAGATTCATTCTTAGACTCTTTTCTGTGATGATATCAGGAACTTGGTTGGCATCAGAACCATGAACAGGCACCCAAGTCACAAGCTCAGCACCATGGGTTGAGGCTCATGTTCTCTGGGAACCTCTCTGGGTTTGAACAGGTTCAGGTTCCTATGAAAGAAGTACAGAGGAAACAAGATGGACTGTGACTGTTGACTAATACAATGGAGGGTTGATATGCTTTCTAAACTTTTTATTATAAAAAAATTCAAGCATATACGGAAGTTTTTAAAAACAGCAGCTGTATCAGTGGGGAGGCTAAAGGCAGGAGAATGACCAGTTAGAGGCCAGACTGGGCTATGTAGGGAGACCTACTCTAAAAAAACCAAGAACCAAAAATGGAAGCTGAGGACTGGAGATGTAGCTTAGGTAGAGTACTTCCCTAGCACATGCAAAGTGCCAGGTTCAATCCCAAACACCACAAAGAAAAGGGAAAAAAAAATGGATGGGGGCATGGCTAAATCCCAGTACCCAAAAAAAAACAAGTCGCTGAATTTTAACAATCTTTGCTTACCATTTTGAGTCTAGATAGTAAAATCTCAGCAACAACTATAGTAGTAAATACTTATAAAGTATATACATGTTGCCAAGGTGATACATGCCTGTAATCCTAGCACTGATGAGGCTGAGGCAGGACCATCGTAAGTAAAGACAAAATAAAACAAAAAACCCACTGTACATGCATGCATACAAACACATACACATTCATTTGATTCTTATAGCATATTTGTATACACAATTTATAGATACTGGGCTGCAGGTATGGCTCAAGTGGTAGAGCACCTACCTAACAAGCATAAAGCCCTGAGTTCAATCTCCAGTACTGCCAAGAAAAAAAAAAAAAAGATTTTAAACACAATGTATAGATACAGAACCTGAGGAATGGTGAGGTTAAGTAACTTCACAAGGTTGTATAGTAGTAGAACCTAGATTGAACCCAAGTTCGATCACACATGT